TATATATATATATATATATATATATATATATATCTTTATGTGTACTTTTGTATTGTTTTTGTTTATTTTATTTTCTTTATTGTTTAGATTATAATATTATTATATTTGTTTTTGTATTAACAACAACTCCACTTTACTACTACTTTTTTATTTTTTTTATTTTATTTTATTTATTATTATATTAATAGTAACCGTATTATATTATATAAACGGCCAAAAGAAATAGCTGCTTCTCTGTATGTGTAATAGAGAAAAAGAAAGAGAATAAATATAAAATAAAAATAAATATTTATTTATTTTATTTTTATTTACTTTATTCTTCTTTTATTTGTCTTTGTGCTGCACTGCAGCAAGCCTGCTGCTGCTGCGCTGCAGCCCCGAGCCCCCCTGAGGCCCCGCAGCAGCAGTTTCTGTTGTATTTGTATCCTCTTTTACTTTTGTTAACAAATATAATTATTTTTTATTTATTTATTAATATTATAGAGTTTGAATGGCTTTAAAGGGGGCCCCCATTTAGGCCTGGGCTTCATCGATACCGAAACCTCTGCTGCAGCTGCTGCTGCTGCAGTTGCTGCTGCTGCTGCTGCAGCTGCTGCAGCTGCTGCTGCTGCCGCTGCTGCGGCTCCTGCTGCTGCTGCCACCCCACACACGGCAGCTAGAGATATTATGCCATAGAAAACGCAGAAGGCACCTCAAGAGCTACTGGCTGCAGCTGCTACCATGCAGTGCAGCAGCGGCGCCCGGGGCGCATGCATACGGAGTGGTCGTGCTGCTGCATCCGTTGCTGTTGCTTCTGCTGCTTCTGCTGTTGTTGCTGCATGGGCTCCGCAGCAGCAGCAGTGTGTTACCGCTAACAGGCCGTATGAATGGCTGCAGCACCGCCTGCCCCTCCGTCGTGGGGTGGGGCCCCTCGGTGCTCCCTGCTGGGGGCCCCCGGGGCCCCTTCACGGGGGTTGCTGCGGCGTGAGCAGCAGCAGTACAGGGGCCCGCGTTGCCTGTGTATCTGCTGCAGTGTCTAGCTCTGCTCGCAGCTTCGCTTCTGCAGCAGCAGCGGTGCCCATCGCCGCTGCTGCTGCTGTTGCAGGGGGCCGTGCTGCAGTTGCTGCTGTTGCGCGGCAGACGGGGGCCCTAGCTGCCTCAGGTGCAGCAGCAGTAGAAGAGCTGCAGCAGGTTCCTATTGGGAGAGGAATGCAAGGCCTGAAGGGGAACGACACAGAGGGGGGCAGCGACAGCGCCCCCCAGCGCCTGCAGCTCGACGGTGCAGCAGCTGACCCTGCGCTGCAGCAAGAGCAGCAGCAGCAGCAGCTGCAGCAGCAGCAGCAGCAGCAGCAGCAGCACGAAGAGGGAAGTGTCTCAGCACCCTCTAACGGGGGCTTTTCTCTAGGAGCTATGGTATTGGGGGCAGGGGCCCTCGGCTGCAGCCTGTGGCTGTTTGTTTACCTGCAGCAGCAGAAACTGAGTTTCACAGGTGGGTGTGTTTTCTCTCGCATGCGGTGTACGTACACCTGAGATATAGAGGAGAGGGGGACTGCAGCATGTGCAACAGCTGCATGCAGCTGCATGCAACTGCTGCATGCAACTGCTGCATGCAACTGCTGCATGCAACTGCTGCATGCATCTGCATGCAGCAGCAGATATTGTTTTTGTTGTTTCAGACTTCGTCAAGGATTTGTGGCGCCAAGCGGACGCGCAGATGACCGCCTCTCACGACCGCATTCAAAACGCAGTAGAGGATGTACGCATGCATCCCCAGCTAGCTAGCTAGCTNAGCTAGCTAGCTAGCTTGTAGTCAGCCTTACAACTGCCCCGTCAGCGCGGCGCTCAGCCAGCTAGCTAGCTAGCTAGCTAGCTAGCTAGCTAGCTAGCGTGCCTGCTAGCTTGGTGGTTACCAGCTCCTCAATCTAGCTACATATGAGCCGAGTGTATTCTGCGTGTATCTCTCTGTTGTTGCTGGAGTGTATGTTTACATTGCTGAGGTGTATGGACAGTGTTGTGGTGTATGTACACCTCAGATGATCGCGCGCGCTTTCCCTGAAGATAACGAACCCCTTCTGCCAGACTTTAAGGATCTCAATTACCCTGAGTTTCTCCCCACCCTCGTCCTCGACTTTGACGGCGTTCTTGCAAAGATCGGCCATGATGTACGTGCATGCAACAGCCCCAAATGCATGCATGCATGCATGCATGCATGCATGCGCATGCATGCATGCAGAGTGTGTTATTTATTTTGGTGTATGGGTTCGTGTATGATTGCTTATATGCATACATGTGTGCATGCATGCATGCATCTTATGTATACATGCATGCATGCATGTTATCTATGCATGCATGCATGCATGCAGAGAGTATTGAATATGTATGGCATCGCATTTTGACATGACCTCCAGATGCATGCATTGCATGCATGCATCCTGTGTAAACTGTATGTGTATGTGTATGTGTGTGTATTTGGGGTGTATGTACAGCGCACAGGGGGCTACAAGCTGCGCAAGCGGCCGTATAGCGAGGCCCTGGTGAACCAGTTGTCTCACTTCTTTGAAGTTGTTGTATGGAACGCAGATCAGCCCCCCGTCGTACAAACGGCGCTGCAGCAGTGGGGCCTCCCCGTCACCGCCTGCCTCAATTCAGACAATATGTCCCGCAAACATGGACGCAGAATCAAAGTATAAATACATCTTTATATATATATATACATATATATATATATATATATATAATGCATGCAGTGCATGCAGTGCATGCGACTAGGGGCTTGCAGCAGGGGGGTTTTTGGGGGGGGGTATTATAGGGTTGGTGTATGTGTGTAGGAGAACGAGTTGCATGCAGAGGGTGGTATAATTTTTTTTGTTTTTTGCATGCATGTTTGGGGCTGCATGCGTGTTTGGGGCTGTGTTGTGTTGCATGCGTTGGGGCTTTGTTGTTTAGGATTTTTCGCGGCTGGGGAGACGCCTGGATCGGCTTATTTACGTCTCCTGCACCGACGAGGGGCTAGATGACCGCTTTAGGGCTAACTTCATTAGGGTTTCTCCTTTTGAGGGGACTGGTATGCTGCTGCTGCTGCTGCTGCTGCTGCTGCTGCTGTTGCTGCTGCTGCTGCTTTTTTTTTTCTTTGTTTGGTGGTGGTGGGTTTTGGTGTTGTTTACTGTCGTTTTGTTTTTTTTTTGCCTGGTGCTTCTTTATTGCTATATTTTTGTTGTTCATTCGTTGGGTTTTTGGTGGTGGTTTTTGTTGTTTATTGTTGTTTTGTTTTTTGTCGTTTGCTGTTTCTGTTTTGCTTTTTGTTTGTTGTGTATTCGTTGTTTGTTTTTTTTATGTATGTTGTTTCTTTTCTTTTGTCGTTGTTTGTTTTTTGTTATGCTTTGTGGCTGTTGCTATTGTTACCGCATTCCTTGTGTATATGTTCTATTAATACCGTAAAAACATATAATATATAAACCTATTGCTGCTGTTGCTGCTGCTGCTGCTGCTGCTGCTGCTGCTGCTGCTGCTGCTGCTGCTGCTGCAGCTGAGGAGATGCTATCGGACACGGAGCTGTCGGACTTGTTAAATTTTTTGAAGCATTGTTCTTTGAGCCCGGACGATGTGCGTCAGAGTATAGCTCGGTATGGTGGGGGTGAGGACGGTGGTGTTGGCCGTCGGTACGATGCAGCAAAGAAAGCACAAGAAACAAAAGCATCACAACGTAGAAATATAGGAAAGCTATTCGGTATCAGCTCACCACAGGGACAGGGGGGCCCCGCATTCTTACCCTCCCCACAGCAGGCTGCTGCACTGGGGGGGAGGGGGGGGGCGGGGGGCCTTCGCTAATGGGGGCCCCCACCGATTGCCAGGGGCCCCAATATGCAACACCGCTAGCACACGCTGCAGCATGATAGTTTAAAGAAGTACAGGAGATAGAAGAGAGAGATAGAGAAAAACTGAATAGAGATAGAGCAAGAGAAAGAGAGAGAGAAAGAGAGAAAGAGAGAGAGAGAGAGGGCCCGCAGTCGGGCTTTTTTAACACTTGTTGATGGAGCCTAGCGCCCATGGGACTGTATGTACACTGCAGCGTGCTAGGAGACAGGTGCTGTACGGTCGCATGCATGCATGCATGCATGCATGCGTGTATGCATGCAAGCATGGCATGCATGCTGACGCAGTTGTTTTCTACCTTTCTTAGACTCTAACCCGCGCTTTAAAGGCAACGGGTATCTCATAAGAATGACACAGGCAAAGAGAGAGTAACGGAGACAGAGAGACAGGGAGAGAGAAAGAGGAAACAGAGACAGAGAGGCAGCGTTCTTACTAACGCATGCGCTGAACAGTAGCTGCTGAGGACAGTTGCATGCAGTGGCTTGCATGCATGCATGCATGCATGCATGCATGCATGCATGCAAAGTCTGTTCAAGTTTGGGGCTGTGGCCCGGCAGCGCGCATGCAGAAGCCCCAAGCGAGTAATGTTCTTAGGGGGAGCTGAGCCCTTTAGAGACAGAGAAAGTGGAGGAGAAAGGAGACGGTCTCTGCTGCTGCTATGCATGCGCCCTGTCCCCTCCTCAGCAGCACTTGAATAAGAAAGCCGCCAGGTGTACGTACAGCTGCACCTCTTGCATGCCCCAGCTGCAAGAGGTTTCACTACATTTTTATACAAACAACCAAGAGATAAAGAAAAAATAAATTGAGACAGAACAACATCACTGTTTGTTTTGTTGTCGAATAAAACAGAGACAGAGAAGAGAAAGAAGTCCCCATAGAGGTGGAAACTGAAATTTAATTAATTTGTATTTGCACGGGATTGGGGTGTATAGACCGCATGCAGACGCGGCGACTCGCCGCGCTTTGCTTTTGCATGCAGAAGTAGCAAGTTGTTGTTTTGGGGCTTTCTTTTGTTTACGGTGCTTTCTTCTTGACCTGCGTTTTTTTTGTGTTTGTGCTGGCGGCGGTTGCCGCTGCTCTCTTTAGGCGAGTTCCCGTCTTACTCGAGTTCGTGGCTTTTGTTGCTGCTGTTGCTGCTGCTGCTGCTGCTGCTGCTGCTGCAGCACTGCTGCTGCCTTCGCCTGTCTTCTGCATGCAAATCTTCTCTGCCCCACCAGGGCGAGTGATGAGGAGAATACCGTCTTTCTTGAGGCGCTGCTCGAGAGCTGTTGCAATGGGTGGTGTTAAGTAAGCAGAAAGAAGTGAAAAAGAGAGGGCGTTGCTGCTGCAGTCAGCGGGAGAGGCAGCAAGATTGCTGTTTCCGCTGCTGCTGCTGCTGCTGCAGCTTATGCCGCGCTGCGCTGCAATTGCAGCAGCAAGTTTGGCATGCTTCTGTAGTAGAAACGTCAACGTCTTATCAAGATTAAACCGCACAAACAGCGTCCCCTCCTCCGCTGCCGCTCGACGCCTCTTTCCCTCTTCGGCGCTCACTGCTGGTGTGGCTGCTGTTGCTGCGGCAGCTGCAGCAGAGGCGTGTGATGCTGTTGCTGCTGCACTGGGGCAGGATGCCTCTGTATCTTTTTCTGTTTCATCTTTTGTTGCATTCAACAGCCGGATGTCACATGTGAAGTCTAGACGGCGGAGCACCCCTGGGTGCTGCGACACTGCCTGCAGGTTGCGGCGGACTTGCAGCTCGAGTTGGGTTGGCGCAACGGCATCCAGCAGCGGCACAAAAGACTTTGAAGCGTGTTGCTTCAGATGAGGCAACAGCAGCAGCAAAGGGTCTACAGGAGTCGCTAGCAGCAACGATGCATCACTCAATACCAACTCAGGAGGCAGCAGCGCTGAGCAGGTGCCCACACTCCTGCAGCTCTTGTTGATCTCATATATAGACTGTCCTGAGACGAAGAAGTCCACCATCACATCAGGCGTAGAGGGATAAGGCAAAGAAAGAGGCAAGAGGGTCGGCCCTGCAGAAGCGCCACCGCGTCCTTTCGGTGGTTTACTTGGTGGGGTTGCTTCGCCGGGGATCAGCAGCAACCGCAGCTGGCTGGGAGAAACCAGCGGCTTCGGCATCGTGAATGTATTCACCGCAATGCTGAGCAGGGTGTATGTCCACCACCTCAGTGCAACCTAGACAACAGGGAAAGCTAGACAGCGGCGAAGGCAGCCGAGCCTGCCGCTACACGAACATGAAATAAAGAAGGCGGATTCGCGTTGATCTAAAACCCCTGAGGATTTAATTTGTTATTTCAACTGGATATGATCATGAAAATTAAACGGAAATGGAAAAACAACGCCACACTCGACAGGTTTCCAAATTGCATGAAATCTGCCGCCGACGAGGAGGTGATCCGCAGCCCAGGCGGCGTCCTTCTGTGTTTTTGCACAAATATGTTGCTAGAAATTCTAAATAAAAATAATAAATTGATTAATTAGGAGGCGAAATTGTTCAAATATCCCTGCATGCATGCAATGAGATGCTCAGGGGTTGGTCGCAGTACAGAAACGAATGTGATGTCTGGGGGGAGGAAACTCAAGCAGTGGGGGTGGCATCTGTGCAACTTTATTCATCTCTGTCGGTTTGAAACATTTATTTTCTTCGTGTAACTTAAAATGGAGGTGTATGCTGTTGCTGAGCTACTTGATTCCCCCTGCTTCTGTCTGCGCACCGCCGTGTTTGTGGCGCTGGGTTGGTGGGTGGTTAGGTCAGTTTGGGGTAGATCCGCATATTCTTTTCAACACCATGAAGACTTAAACCTTTACGCAGGGTCGTGAGTAATGCACAGGAGAAGTAGTTGAGCAGGCGAGCCGGGGCTTGTCAGCATTCAGCCAATAGACCTTCGGCGCAGCAGCAACAGTCAATGCATTGTTCAAGTTCACAAGAAGCCAAGAAAGCGTCGAATGCTAGACCTTGAGGGGTGGACTGACGGTCCCTCTGCATTTTTCTCCTTCACCTTAACGTCCAGAGTCCAACACAAAACACGCAGAGATTCATTGACCGATAGCAGTAGCTAGCGGGTCGGGGCAGTTAGCTACCCCGCCAAGCGTAGCTAGCTGCAGTAAGCCATTCCCTTATACTTCATACTATTGCATGCAGTTTGGGGAGTATTTGTTGCTCCAAATACTCAGAGAGGCTCTACCATTTGGTGTTACCTGCGAACGCTGGTCCTTGTAGTTTTTGTTCACCCCATGAAGTCTTAGTAATTGAGACGCAACAAAGCAGATCTTGCCACACATAGAACCCTTTAAACGGAAGCTCATGGGCTGTGTGGGATGGCTATAGTGAACCGGCCTGTTGAGTAGGGTCTCCACTGCAGCGTGGTGGTTTGAGTTGCATTCAAGTTCTTTTGTTGTACGTCAGGTTTAAGTTTCTACGTCGTTGGGGGCTCTCCAGCAGTGTAGTGAACTCCTTTTGCATCTTGTCAAAGGCAGAGCAGGGCAGTGCACTTCCCTTCCATCTTTTGTATGCATTATTTACATAGATTCTGCACCCCCAAGGTACGGTTAGATCGTGTCTATTGTCTAATCACGGTGGTTGTTCATGCTGTAGACAAGGTGATATCTCGCAATGAGTATATTTAGCGCGGCATGAACGGCACTTGCTGCACCACCGCTAACACGCGTTCTTGCTGAACTATGTGATTCGTATAACCAGTCCATGATCTTTTCCTGCAACGGTCCTACGCTGCCTCCGCCTATAATTGAGCAGAATATATGAATGTGCATACACCGCTTATCAAGCAGTACTCTGTAGATAAATAACTCGTGCTGTTCAGAGCTTGTACTCCTCGTGCATCTTCAATAATTCCCAGCACTACATTTCTGCAATCAGGGGGGTATGGGGTGGCGGCGTTAATATTCCTTCGCAGCAGAAGCTGTAGCTGCAACGACTAGTCGAGCCTGTTGCGGAGCAGGTTTGGACGAAATTCATGATCATCGTGTTTTTAGATAAATATATGAACAGTAAATTAAATAAAAGCCGCAATTTGTTGCATGTGCGTATTGCATTTCTTGAATATCACTAGTTTCCTACGCATATGTTCCCGTGCTCTCGCGTGGTCGCAGTGCAGGCTGACTGGAGGGTTGAGGGGCCCCGAAAAAAGGACACAGTGAGCTTCCACCAGAATTTTTCTTCGTATATATCATATAAATATTATTTACATGTGTGTTTCTTTGAAATGATTGAATATTGACGGCAGAGACCAGCGGTTTCTACCAGGGCCTCGGCGGTGAACGGGGGGCCCCCCTGCTGCAGCATGCAATTAATGAATGGGGCTTCAGGCCCACAGTACCGTGCGTTCTGTTCTTTGTCTAGACCCCACCAATAATTAATAATGTTAAATTGGCTTAGTTTGTTCGGGTGAGCATTTTAAATCCTCAGCATGTGCAGCAAAGCCGCAGCAATATATGGGGCTTACATATCGTTGAGCCCCGACAGAAGAAGCCTCGAGATGTAAGAGCCAGCACAAGAGGCGGGATTCCTTAGACCAGCGGTCCTTCCGCGTCAGCTGAAGTATACACTTCAAGCGCTGCACAGCTAGAGACTGAAGACCTATAGAAGAAGTTGCGACATTCTCCCGTTCGTATTGGCCTTTCTTATCGGGGGTACTGCCACAGTCTTGCCGGGGGTGTTCCCTGTCTTCCTTCACTGAGATGGATGACGTTAGGGAGAAAAGGCAGTCGGGGCCCCACAAGGGGGGCCCCCAGAAGGGGAAGGCTAAGAAAGGGGGTTCTTCTGCTGACGGGGCTCCTAACACCGCAAGCCTTCTAGAGCTGCAGCTGGCTGAGCTCGAGCGAGGTTTGCGTGTGTCTCCCCCTGAGTTGGGTGTTGATAGTTCCCCTTCTGCTGTTCTTTGGGACTTTGTTTCTTTTTTGAAACAATTTTGCCTCAACGAATTCCGTGCTAGGCAAATTGCGTTGGATGCTCCTGCAGCAGCAGCAGCTGCAACGAAAGACCCGAAGGCCCCCTTCAGCTCTCCGCTGGCTACTGCCATATTCAGCCAAGTCCCAGGCAACGCCAAGGCTACCCCTCCCCTGTGGACAGCCCCACAGCCCTGCAGAGTTGAACTCATAGGCAGCTGCGGCGCGGGCATGGGGCCCCCTTCCTTCGCCCGCAATTTGGATTTGGCCCTAGAGCTCCCAGAAGACGCGCTAGATAAGCGCGACTACTTAAACTACAGGTGAGCCAGCAGGGTTTGTTTCTTATGCCCAGGCTCCTTGCATCCGTGCATGCATGCATGCATGCGTGGGAGTTTGCTCAGTCTGAATGGGGCGTCCGCCACATTGTGCTGCTGCGATGTTATTTGGGGTGTATCTGCAGATACCTTGCGAAGCGTGCAGCGTACGTAGATATGCTGCGCTGCCAGCTACAGGAGGCCTTGGCTAAGCAGCAGCAGCAGCAGCAGCAGCAGCAGCAGCAGTGGGCTTGGGCTTGTGCATGCAAGCGAGCCCGTTTGAGGGTGGAGGCAGAAGTGAGGCCTTGGCGCCTTGACGGGCTGAAGACAGTTCTTTGCGTCAAGTTCTTGCCGTTAGAAAAGGAGACAGTTAAAGCAAAGGAGACGGCTGCAGCTGACGGCTCCACAGCAGCAGCAGATGCACATGATGTGCGTGCCCAGCAACGGCTGTTTCGGCAGCTGCAGAGCTGGGAGGTGCGTTTGTTTGTGGCTTGTTGCGGCGGCCTCTTCAAGGAGAAGTTCCTGAGGCCCAACGCCAATGCGGTGCGGCGCAGAACAACCGCCACAAAGGATCTGAAGGAGACAGCAAACAAAATGGAGACACCTCTCACTGACGCGCAGGTCAAGGCGCTGCCCCCCACCCCCTACTACAACGGCCTCGTGCTCGAGGACTGCAGGTGGGTCGATACTTACCAGGGGAACCCTAGGATACTGCTGCTGCTGCTGCTGCTGGTGCTGCTGCCACTGCTGCTGCTCCACCTTGCTGCAGAACAAAGCGCGCTGCTGCAAATGCCGTCACGTCGTATAGAAAACACTCGAAGCCGCTGTTTCTGCCATTGCTGTCTCTGCTGCTGCTGCTGCTGCTGCTGCTGCTGCAGCTGCTGCTGCATATTGCATTATTTCAAGCTGTTCCACTAAATTTCAGATCCCATTTATGTTTGTTTGTTTCTGTGTTTGTTTGTTTGTTTTTGTTTGTTTGTTTTTCTTTGTCTACCCTTTGCACCTTCCACAGATTTTTCAAGCACGCTGAGATCCTCCGCAAATGTGCTGCTGAGTTCACTGGCTTCGCCAGCGCCGTACGGCTCCTCAAGGCCTGGGCCCGGCGGCGCTCCCTCCTCGATTCGGGGCTGTCTGCATGCAGCTCAACAACAGGCAAGTGCTGCTTCAGCGTGCCTCTTTTAGAGTCTCCTCATTTGTTGTTTCCTCCGTGTAGTGCTTGGAGATGGGTTGGATGGGGGCGTTGTAACTTTTGGTTTTCTTTTGGGGCTTGGGAGTTTCTGGCTTGTGCATGTGGAGGAGTTGATAGAGTGTACTTGTTGCTGCGTTGGCAGGCGTTTGCTGCGGTTTTACGCTGTCTTTGATTCTGGCTCATGTGTGCCTCGCCTCGGGGGATGTTGCCCGCGTTGCCGCCCCGGTGCAGCTGTTCCGCCTGGCGCTGTCGTTTCTGGGGGGGGCGGACTTCCGTTCCCGCTTCTACTGCATGGGGGAGGACGCAGGCCGCCTGAAGCCCTCGCTGCCAGAGGAGGCGAATGCCCGCCTGGAGGCAGCTGTGGCGGCCCGCAACGACGCAGCTGATGCTGTAGCTGCACCCTTGCCGGGCGCGGGTGCTGCTGCAGAAGACGCAGAAAAGGCGACACATATGCCGCAGTGGGGCCGCCAAGAGTTATGTGTGGGCCTTGTAGAGGATGCCTATCTCTTTGACTCAGAAGAAAAGACATTCAACATTTTGTGGAGATCCCAACTGCATATTCAGGTAATTCTTAGAAGCCCTGGAGCTGTACCTGAAGGGCTGTATCTCCTTGCCAACGTGTAAAGAGAAAGAGAAGGCTCGAGAGCCATTTTCCTGCATCTTTACCTCGGTAAAGTTTTGTTGCGGCGGGCGGTGTGCTTGTACAGGAGCTGCAACACGAAGCACGCAGCAGCCTAGCTGCGCTGCAGAAGCTGGATGATCCATTTTCCCTTCTTTTTGGAGAGCAGCAGGAGCATCTGCTGCTGAAGTCGGACTTGTGGGTTCATGTTCCTGCCCTGCCTCCCCGCGGACAAGCCTACGAGCTGGAGACGTCGATCCCCGTGGGGAACTACGACCCCCCTTCTCCAGACCGCCGTCACGTGCCTCAGGGGCCAGCCTACGATGATGGAGATGCCTCCTCGTCTGGAGACGACCCCACACACTTCGATCCCCCTAAGTGGGAGACGGCTCCAGCATTCTTAGGAGCGGCAACACTTGCACGCATTATCGTCAGAGGACTCGGCGACCGCATGCAGAGCTTCCGCGTCCGCTTCGCCCTCTCTGGGGGCCCCACTCAAGCTCCACGCCTTGGTAAGGCTGCTGGTTTGCATAGAGGGACAGCTGAAACGATAGCTACGGTCGTTGCTGCATTCAGAGGTTTTGAGATTAGCTGGCTGAGGGAAATCTCGGTTGATGTTGCGGTGCACGCGCCCGGCTCTCTGTTGCCATCGGCGTCGCGCAGCAATGATGCATTGTGCAACAATCCCGTTCTGCTGCCGAAATATTCAGGAAACTCATTTGACACCCTTCCTGTTGGAGTGGTGATATGCATCACGTTAAATGGAAAGGCCTCCGCGCGCCTGCTGGACCGAGGCCCTTCGGTTGTAGATGCTACGGAAGTGGCTTCGCAGACGCCCCGCGCTGTCGCTGCTGATAGCTTCAGGTTTGATTACAAGACGCCGCACCCATAGCTCAAACGTAGATGGCATCAGTCTCTGAGCCAGTGTAGTCTCTGGGCCAGTGTGACACTGTTCACCTTTGTGGTGTTGCATGCAGTATAGGCGTATGGACTCTGCTTGCGTACAGCCTGTCAGTAGAAGCTCCGCCCTTTTTTTTCTGTGTATTCTGTGCCTTCTGACCAGGAAGTTCTGGGGTCCTCGCTGCGATGTACGGCGGTTTCAAGATGGACGCATGCTTCACTGCGTGTTGTGGGAAAAGTTCGTCGTCTTTGAAGGCCCTCAAGCGCTCGACAGAGCTTCGGGAGAAGCTGCGGGACAGAGAACACCGCCAGAACAAATCGTTCGATATGTTTTGCAGCGGCATGCAGAAGACATTTGTTGTTACGCGGCCTCCCTGACGAAGACAGAGCCAAATGTAGCAGCAAAGAAGCAGTCGCAGAGGCTATCACTAGGCATTCACTGCAGCCCATTGGGTCCTAATGGCCCGCTTTCCGACAGACAGAAGGCTCTTGTACGAGTGAGTGACGGCTGGCCGTCTGCACTAGGGCGCAGCTCCTCATCCTCCTCAACTGCCCTGTAACTGGTCATCCGTGTTCACTGGTCATCCGTGTTCCTGTATTTATCCGCCTGCGTCTGATAGCCGCGAATAAAAGACTTGCGCCTTACGCAGCTTTCCCGTTTACGCGTATTCCTTTGGGTGCTCACGCAGGCATTTGCAGAGCTGAAAAATTTACTTTGCTCGTTAAGTTCCATTCCGCTGACGATCAAGCAAGTTTGGCACTCAGACGCAGCTTTACGGCACACTGAAGTCTTTTCCTCAAACATTTGGGAACCCGAAAAGGCAGCCGGTGTGTTTCCCCGGTTGCTTGAAGGCCGCCTGCGTTGTGCCGATAGTTTTCCTTTTTACTCGGATTGTAGCTGATTGCGTGTCAGCCGTCGCAGAGGTTACCGGACGGTACCTGAGCAGGCTTTTGCACCGCCATTGGCTGCTTTGTTGTACGTTTGGCTCAGCTGCGACGGTGCACTCCGTCGTCGTTCAGTTCGAAGACTCCGGGAAGTGGCCAGTGGAACGGGAAGCCGTTTGCAAACTCAAGACAGCCTTTCTGGTAGCCATGAAGTACGCCACAAATGTTTGCACCGCTGCCATTCACGTTGCCCAGCAACGCTTCCCTCCCCATTATTTCGTTGCCTGCGTGCGCGCATCAGTAGCCACTGGAGTGCGAATAGAAACACCCAACTGCGGCTAGCTTGCCAAGGACATGCCTTTTCATGAGGCTGCATGGTAGTGGCGGCATACGTCTAGCTTTCTGTAACAGGTCGAGCGGTAGCGTTTTACCACTTGTGTGCGCTGCATTTCTTGATTTTCGCAGCGAAGAGCTTCTGCGTGACTACTCTGTTTCTAGTAATGTCATGGAGTCCTTCCTGGATATCCATTTTCAGTCGTTCATCTTCCGCGTTCAAATATTCCATCCTAACGAAGTTATGGAGGAAGCAAACATCTTCACGGATTTCTCGCTCAAGCCAATCACACTGCATCTTGGCAAGGCACATAGCGGACCTGCCAACAGCGGCCGGGAGACTTTGACATTTTCTGGTGGTTCAACAGACGAACAGAAGGTGGCTAAGCAGGTGTGCGATGTGCTGCTTCAAGAAGACGTCGCCCTCTTGTCCGCCGTCAACCCATACCACATGGACAAAGTTTTGCATCTCCGCAGTCTTTGGTGGGCGCCGCAAGCAGCCGCTCTGGTACACAGCTTGGCTCTTAAACACACAGCATTCGCTGGTGAGGCAAGCACCTTCAGCAAGCCTGCAGTTGATGCGTGGCACTCATGGCGATTGCCCTTATGGCTAACTGAGTAGAAAAACTCATGAGCAGCGAACTGTCTGCTTATGCCTTGTGAACTTGACACGGCATCTCTGTGGATCACTTGGATTATGGCGTATTTGTATGTTTTCTCTTTTGTTTTGATGTCTTGTAGGTGCCGTGAGACTGGCAGTTTCTTGGCTGAGCAAACAGCTAATAGTGGGGGCGGTACACTTCGCCGAACACGTCTTGGCATTCCTCTTTGTTGACTACATGCGGGCGGGTTATGGGAATGAGCCCCAAAGCCCGCATGTTGCTTTTCTGCGGTATGTTGATAGGGCTGGCGTCGGGTGTGTGTTTCCGTTAGTAGTGACGGTGTGGCAGGTAGCTACAACTGATGGCGAGCGAGAGAGGTGTAGTTGCTTTCGGCGACATCAGCCTTTGTCGGGAACGGAACAACGCAAGGTCGTCTAGTGTGGGCTTGAGCTCCTTATTGTTTGCATATCAACTGCATTTTCAGGTTCCTTCACTTTGTTAGCTCTTTCGATTGGGAGCATAGTCCTCTGCTTGTTTCGTTCGACTCGTCGTCCCTACTCACGGATGGACAGCGGCATCACATGCAGGCTTCCTTCGAGCAGTAAGTTGTGCGGTGTTGCATCTCTTCACATGGCACGTCACCCCTCGGGAATCAATGATTACGGTAAAGGGGGATATATACAATGGTGCATGGTCAACCACAGGACAGCGGCATTTTCCATCCTTCTGCAAGCTCTTGGTGACATTCTTGCGTTGCTGAACGGCCCACTGCTTACGTATTGCACCTTTTGTTTACAGCTTCGGTCATGTCCCGTCGGTACACTCTGTCCTAGACCCGCATGGCTTCATACTGCCACGACCTGATCCTCCATCCTTTCGTCGCCTTTTGGGATGTGCCCGGTATGTGCGTGAGACTGACGCAGATCGCCGAGAGGTTAATCTATGCTTGTTCTCTGTTCCTATTATTGCTGTTTAGGCTTACACCTCAAGGTCGATATGCTGATAACGTGCGTCTGGGTGGGCTGTTCTTTACAGAGACTGCTGTCAGAAAATACGTTCCATCCCCATGACTTCGTCGCGGTTAACCACAGCATGGAAGGGTTTATTCGTGACTGACTGGAGCCAGTTCGACATTGTAATAAAGCTCAAAGATCCGCTGGCAGCTCCGCAAACCGGTTCACAAGATACAATCCCGCAGAAAAAGAGGCGATATGCTAACTTGGCATTCAACAACGACACAACGGACACCAAAAAAGAATCCGTGCTTGGCGGTCTTTTACAAAGAGAAGCATCTGCAGATTTACCTCTGCTTTCATCCCAAGGGCTTCGTCTTTCGCCTGCATCGCCGGAGACAGCAGCTGTTCTGGACGACTTGTTGCTCCGAGCTGTGGGCTCGAAAGCATGCACGAGGAGGTATTTATTCCTACGGTTCCTGCGGCGCTTATTCCAGGCTTTCCCAGACGCTTTTGTTCTGGGGTTAGACTTTGTGCAAGCACAACAGCTTGCGGGAGGCCTACCGGATTCCATAGCTTTGAAAATACCACCAGCCACGCTTCTCTGTAGAGCGTTGCAGCCCATAGAAGTGTCGCCACGCCTTCTTCTTTGCCCCTCTTGGGAGGCCCAGAAGGCGCCCACAACTGGTAGAGAGTCATTCAAGGAAGGGAGCAGTTCACCATCAGATGAACGGGCTTTTATGGCGGTCCTCAGCCCGTCGATGCTGTTAGGAGGTATCAAGGCGATAGCCACGGGAATGATAGAAACGGTGGTACTCACGTAGACCACTCAGACTGTGACCAGCACCTCTGGTGGTGCTTTTATTGTTTGAAACCCCTTATCCAAAACTTGTGTCCTTGTACCCAATGACTCGCAAAAAAGAACATACGAGTACTTGCTCTTCAGCGCAATTAGCTATGAAAGTTATCCATACTTGGCTGTCCAGAGTTGGACTTTGTCGTCTAGCTGATGGCCAGGATAGGAAGCAATGCAGAAACCCTTTCCCCGATGTTCAGCGTTGACTTTATTCTGATGCAGATTGGCGCACCATCATCCACGTTTCCATGTTAGTGTAAGCTGAAGGACGTACACACAGTTTCCCTGTCGGGTATTCTATATACAACTAAACAGGCTGCTTCCATACAGCAAGAATTTGCTGGAGTTACCGCAGAAACATCGCCCCTGGCTTGTGCCCATCTGGTCATCGGGTAGAGGCTTGTATTACTTGCTTGTAGTGTGGTTCCAGAGCGTTCCCCGTGCAGAAGGTGCTACAGCTTAGGCTGATTACAGAGGCTCGATAGAGGGATATGTGCAGTGCTATACCAAAGTTGGGTGGATGGGTAATTCGGACGTGTTTGGTTCCTAGGAATTCATTGGAATGAAGCAACAAAACGTCTGTGTGCAACAAAAAGCGTATGCATGTGGAGAAAGTCGCCTTTACTGACAAGGTTGACTCAGAAAGCATGCAAACCGTGGTGATGGTTGCAAGCGAGTCGTTGAAGTCGTTATTCAAGCGTCCAACTGCAGCTGAAATCTAAAGGGAAGTATATGCATTGCCTTCACTCTAGGGAATGAAATAATCAGAGTATTGGGTAAGCTGCTTCCCCTGTAACTCCCTAGCATGGAACTACCTGTGAGCGGCAGCTGCGGCAGCTGCAGCGGTGCACGTCAATGAGCATCTCTACAATTCCGAACATTAGTGTTGCAAGATGAGCGAGGCAACGGACACTGCACATCAGCCTCATTGACTTCAGCTTGACGTGCCACAGGCAGCTGCCACTTTTCAGCCAATCGGCCGCGCCAAGCCACCATGCATATCAACGTTGCTTCAGCCCATCGCAACTCGCCACTAAATCGCCCTTACGCACGATTCCGGTTATATATGAAGAGGGTTTGGTCCTCTTGCGCTCAAGGGTACGCTCGCAGCCGCGGTCATCTGTCTGGCCAGCGAGCTGCCGTCAGGTGGATGCCTTTGCTTCGCGGGGACATCTACACGCGGCGAATGTGCTTCGTCGAGTCGGCCAAGTGTGTCGAGCCCAGTGTCCCAAAGTGGGTCAATGCTCTGGCGTGCCACGCCTTCCCCCTTCAAAATGCGCATCAGAAATTCCGTTACGAGACGCTTGGTGTCACCTGTAGCGGAATATCTCGTTGCGGCGTGTTCAATAAGTAAAACACCACGATTCGTAGTCATCTGCTGAAGGCCAGGTTGGGATGACAGTAACCAGAGGCAACGGCATCCCTGTGCCACAACCTCAATGTTGCCCGAATGCGCAGAGACGACCTGCAAACGGTGGCAGTGCACTCAGAGACGAATTTGCGTCATTCAAGATGAACCCACCACATAACACTCCAAAACGAATTGTTCTCAACGGGCTACGCAGCAGTGCGATGCGGAACACACCTTGCATATGACGTTCACGCCTCGCTCTAGAACGGCAGCTGTGCACATTTCGTTAGCTGCACAGTTCGCCGTGCATCTGAGAGCATCTTCAGCAAGACACGATTCAGCGGAGTGTTTGAACATAACGAAGAGGACAGTTGTCATTGCTCGTGTTCTCATTAGATCTGCATATATCTTGGAGTCGTCCGGTTCTTTGTAAACAAGACGCGATATAGCTCGACAGCCGTACGCACAAACCTGTAGATAAACAACGTGTTCGAGAGTTCGCAGAGCATCGTTCCTCGTGCGCGAACGTCAAAACTGATTTCAGCGAATGCCTGCTGCGCTGGGTTAAAGTGTGTAGGTGAAACTCGTGACTAACCAAAGCATCGTTAGCGCAAGCGGTCATGCTCTTGATAATCGCTTCAATTACCCCAAGGTCTACAGCTCTTCTTCTTGCGTCAGCCTGAATGAACAGTCGAAAGCCAAGCAGAGAAGCAACACCCAAGAAGTCCCAGTAGTTCACATAAGCCGATGGCAGACGGAGTAGCAACTCAACGGTGTGAAGGCAATCCTGCGTGGCTCGCTAATGCATTGCAAACTGAAAGCCTTGTATAGACGCTCATGAAGCGTTCCTGGTTATAGGGCACAACTGACTAACCAGAGAGTTGGCGTGATAGCTGAAGGCCGCTATAAATTCATTCACGTTGGCACAAAGGGTGAACGCATCTTTGCTGTCCTTAAGGGCGCTGATGATGATGCTAAGTGTCAGCCGACCGAATATCTGGGGACAAAAACAAGCGCATGGCATCATTATACATAGACCTTTGTGTAGCGTAGCTTCGACTATATCGCCGTTGTTCCTTTGATCATGAAAGTTTAATGGTGGGCCTGCGCAGACGCCGCAGGGGCGGCCAAAGCCGGAGTTCATACTTCGCTCTGAGGAGAATAGAAGGCTTCAAGGACAGTCAGCGCTGCGCAGCATGCGCTAATAACCTCCGGAACGCAACGATGGCGCTGCATGGCTGCGTTTACCTCCTCAATCATCTCTTGCGTAAGATAGTTCCTGCATCAACATTTTACCGCGCAAACGCATTCCGGCGAGTTTCCACCTGACGCTAGCTGACTTCGTGTCAACTCAGCTATCAGCTCAGGAATATACGCACTTGCAACCGTTCACTTTTCCAACAATCGCAATCGTATTGGCGAAACCGCTAGCTACACTTTGGCTGTCGGGATGAGTTGACACCGCCAACAGGAGAAGAGGAAACGCCTGCAATATACAGCATACAACCCGCGCCGCCGTGAAGTGGATTACTGGGCGAATCAACTTGTGGTTCTACTGCAACGGCCTACAGAAACACGGCTATGCTTTATGGCATTCACTGGGGTGCTGCAGCTGTGAGAATTACAGTTTGAGCCACATGCTTGCAGTGACGAAGGGAAGCACGAGCTAGTGAAGCAACTGCTTGGCAAGCTGCACCCTGAAGCTTCCGATTGTTGGCGTGCAACTGCATGACCTCCAAGACCTTTGCGCGCAGAAACACAACAAGGCGCTAGACGCACTTCATCGGAGCAGAATATTCTAAGGAGGTATGCAGACACCAGTAACTGGGATCCCACACGTCAGGTTTTGTTCGACACGTGATGGCGCTATGGAACTGTAAGCAGCAAAAAATGTTCTCACCCTGTCCACATCACTGGCGTCGTCGGGCATCCACTTGGGCGTTATAGATTCGACCAGCTGAACGTCTTCGCCGTAACTAGGTGGTCTCCGGAGGTGTTCGTACCCTGCCAAAACACGCACAGCGCATCTCCTTCAGCTACGGAAGATTGTTCAACAGATCCGACAAACACCAATATCCACAGTACGAATGTACGAAGAGGAGCATCAGTAAAACATCTCCCCACCTTCTTCCAGTCGCTGTCCGGAGGTTCCCTGTTTGTTCCGCTCGTGTGCTGCCAAGCCCTCAAGCTGAGCCCGTTGCCCAGCAGCATCTATCGCCAAGCAGGCTCTGCAGAACGGTGGAAGGAACCACACGGATAAATGAAGAGCTACCGTGATGTATTTACATGTTTCACGCCCCCGGATAACAACGCTAGGGTGTTTGAATCACCATTGTGGCGAGCGGGCATCCTGGCTTGGTGCACGCAAGCCACTGCAGCTCTGACGTACCTCGTCAAAACGATGGGTTCGTGTTTCCATTTCCCCAGGACTTTAAGAAACACGGAGTACTGTGTGCTCTTTCGATGAGGCGATCTGGCTACAATTAGGATGTGGATGCAGAACGCAACAATCTCACAATCCGATGATTCATCTATTTGCTGCAAAAGCAGGTCCACCAAATCTGTGTTGATGACAACCTGCGGACGCTCAAAGGCGCAAATGACAATGACTGCCCAGTATGAGCATACGCCGTGCCTGCGTGCAGAGTAGAACGCCGCTATTGCACAGAAGAGAAGGTAAACCACTAGAAAACTTTCGCAGGGAAGCTTGCCTTGGGACGAATGACAGCGGCCATTACAGCAATGATGTCCGATCGCAGCTCCTTGTCATCTATAGCCATGAGAGTGGTCAGGGTTTCGAATATTGGAGGTGCTAGATGCTCCTGGAATTTGGAAGCTGAACAAATGGCAAGCACACTCCGTCGCACCCAAAACTAGCGCACAATACCCAGTAGCCGTTGTCCGAAACTGAGTGAACGGTAGAAATAAAAGTGTCCTCAGTAGTAGATCCTAACTGGGTGATGATTCGGGAGCTTAAGTACATTCAAAAACGTTGAGAAGGCCAATGATCCCTGCACGCTGGATGTCAATCTGGTACGGGTAGTAAGGCAGAGACTGTATAAGGGCGTTCGCGTATTCCTGTCGGCATCACGTACAAGGCACAGCGCATTTGTACAGGTCAGGACTAGTGTTGCTAGCGTCTGCAGCTTTGCCCATCGCAATGTAGCTGACAGAATTACCTGTGAAGCCGGATCCTCTCGAACGAACTCCTGACAGCAGCCAACTGCGAAGTCGTACACCAATTGTACGTGTTCGCTGCTGCCCAACTGCAGATTTAGACGCAGCACACGAAGCAACCACAGTGGAGGTGTTCCATGATTCGGCTGCACCACAGTTGAAGAGTGCAACCATTAAAATCGACAAATCTGCCAAAAGGAAAGATTTTGTGAAGCAACAGCACCATTAAAAATGTTACCCTGCCCTTCCCCCTGTTTTTCCGGCTGAAACAAGAAACCCCGCCTCACCTCTCCAGAAGAAAAAACCTTCTTCAATTGCCCATACAAGAACTTTAGTTTGACAGGCGTAGCTTCGACAGGGGGGGAAAGGAAGACGAACTCTTCGCATCTGTACGGCGGCAATCGCTCTGCTAGGGCTGCGAAAAAGTCATAGAAACACGGGAAATCCCTTGCAGATGCAACCTTCTAAAAAGGCAGGCTTCGAGTCAGCCACATGATATCTGCCCCCGCTTAATACAGAAACAGGGGATAAAACTACCTGGGATTGAGCTGCAACTACAGCTTGTTCTCACCATTGTTCAAGAGCTCCCCCTTCCGCCTGCCCTGCTGAGGAATCGCTGTGTGCAGGCGTTTCGGAGCCGCAATCTCAAAGGAGTCTTGTACTGTCATGTTCAGGCGAGGGGTTGCATCATTAGCTGGCACTTCTTTGGTTGGAGCTCGGCTAGGAGTTCCGTCATGATGTTCGGAAGGTGAATGTATCGGTGCTCGAGACAGCGAAACTGTGCGTGACCGGCTTAGTGACGACGCGCCACGTCGTGGAACGCCGCTCGCAGCTGCTTCGACTGTTAGAGTAGGAGAACGGCTTGGACTTCTGGTCGCTGCCGCAGCTGCTGCAGCTGCTGCAGCCGCTGCCGCAGCTGCTTGTCGTTCTGCTTCTTCAATCGCGCGAGCCGCCTCCTCCTCACGCCTACGGGCTAGTTCACTCATAGCATCCCGCTCGGCTATAAGCTGCTCTTCTCTTCTGCGCATCTCCTCCAGGCACCTTTTCGCCTCCTCAGCCTCTGCGCGTGCTTCCCCAGCTTCCTGAAGGGCAATGTTCTTTGAGTGGAGTTTGCTCAGGCAAATCCTGGCCCAATCGTCGTCTTCTTCCCTCTTCTCCCTCTGTTGCTCCATCATTCGTTCGTCTTCCCCCATCATACTCCGAATGGCATCCGCTTCTTTCCTGGTGGCCTCCTCCACAAAATCCCCAAATGCGCGCACTTTCCCATCATCCTGCTGCATTTTGAGGAACAACTCGCGTCTAGCTTGCTGACTTACAGGCAAGGCGTCTGCATACTCGGGCTCTGGGTATATACCGGGAAACCTGTGAAAGTAACAAGTGCAGCAATCGAGCAACCACTTTTCTTATGCGCTTGCTTAACGAGAGAGAACGCTTAATTAGCTCCACTGTAATACAATGCAAGACAAACCCGGAGAGCCCTGAAAATGCATGGCTCCTCGAGGGGATACAAGATGGCTAAATCGTGTTCAAAGAGGTGCCACTGCAAGACTGCCCAGGAGTAGGAGGCATAAGTCGTCTTCCAGTGTGGAGTTTTTACCCCCGAGGCCACAGCGGAACTCACTTAGATTTGTATATTGCAGGGCCATCCCCGCGACGCACAGGTACGCCACCTTCTATATCCTGCCTGTAACCCAAGTTGCGCAGCATGCGTGAGACAGCAAGCTGAGCAGCTGCAGCGGAAAGCCTTTGCTGCGTGCACAGCACACACGAATCTCAGAGCAACCTCTTAAGCGCAACGCATCCAAACCGAGCAAGCAGGCCATAGCCAGCAAGGCTTAATCCAAATGACAGTATTGCAAAACCGCTGGCTGGTCGTGCGCCTGACGTATACCTCTCTGAAGTCTACATTGCGCTCCGCCATTTCTTCCAATGGGTCAGAGAACCCCTCAGCCACAGCTCGAGTTGTTAGAGACTGATTTGGCAACGGGTTTGTCGCTTGAATGGCAGATATCTCCTTCATACGTTCAGCATGCAGTCTAACCAACTCCGGGTCTGCACTGACTCAGATAAGGACACACAGCAGCACGGCAATAGCTGCATGCAGCATCACACAAGACAGATGAAAACAGCGCACCCCGTACCCTGACAACAGCCAACTTAGGCCCCCAAAGGCAATATCTGGCAAGCAAGATTCGTACTTCTCAGCATATGCTGCATGGTAAAAAGCGTCGCGGCTCCTATGTTCAATGCGAGCTGCCTCTGCTTGAGCCAGTGCAATGTCCCCGCGTGCCTGAGATGCAGATATGGACAAGAACGGGATGAGCATTACTGTGTAGGTATACTACATTACGTGCTTCGCAACGGTCCTGCGATGTCTGCCCATATTGTGGATCAGTTACCCCAGAAGCTTGACTTGCCTCATCTATGCATCGGAGCTGCTCTTCGATCAGACGCTGTTGCTCCGATGTCAGTTCCGTCAAGAGAGGGTGCGCATTCTTCTCTTTGAGGGCCTCAAGCTCGGCTTGTTGCTTCTTTTGAATAATGGCCCTCGTTATATCACGGCTTTGGGTATGCATCCGTTCTGCTTGGTCTCTTAGGTGTTGGACAGCCAAGTCCATACCTGTTTTTTCGTACAAAACTGCTGGATCTACCGTTGGGCGCGGCCTTTCCTGGTGCAAATGCTGCTGAAGTTGGTAGAGGGAGGCGGTGCGGTCGGCGAAGCTCTCTGGCCCACTGGTCGGATGCAGTGCTGTGGGAGTGCTCTCTGCCGGCGCCCACGGCACACCCCTTGGTAAGCAGGGAGGAGACACACGCTGAAGCTGCATGATCGCTTGCTGCTGCTGCTGCTGTTCTCTAGTGCCTTGGTGCCATCCGGTCACGTCCGATGGCCCTAGAAGGCGAGTTGAGGTGGACGGAAGCATAAATGAAGGAGACGAACTAAGAGACGCGGGGCCAGGCTGCCTGGTACCTAAAAGGGGCCGTCCTGTACTGTGTAGAAGATGGTATTGTAGTTCGACTGAGTTCCGCTGCTGCATAATGCGCATGTATCCCTGTTGCAACTCCTCTAACCTGCGCGTCCAGTTGAACACAGCTCCGGAATGGCCGTCTGCTCTGGCTATCTCGAGGCGCTGTCACGCTCATAAGATGCGTCTACGTATTAGACTCACCGCTTCATATAGTGCAACGGAGGGTCCAGAGGCTTTCCCTCGCCAACTATAGTGGGGACCGCCCCCCCATTGGCAGATGCTGATGTCGCATTCCCCACTTCTTGCGGCCAGCCGCTGTCGCTGGGCGTCTCACGAGTGGAATTTGCTGTCCGCTGCGGCGTGGTCTGGGCAGCAGACTGCGGCGCAGTCTGTTGCTCCGCACTAGAGGCACCTCCGTTACTCTGTGTCAGTGCTGTAGAGGGAGATTTGGTCCCACTAGAAAGCTGATGCTGTTCTGCAGGGATCTGCGTCGTTGCGCCTGTGTCAGACGACGCAGGAACGCTCTGATCTGCTGCAGTGCAGAAATTAGTTGCAACAGAGTCCTTACCAGCTGCTACATCCAATCCTTCTTCATCGTGTTTCACTCCCGTGGTAGGTGGCGATGGGTTAGCTGTTTCCTGTTGGCCGGGTGAATGCTTCGCTGCACGGCTAGAGCCCTCGCCACCGCAGCTAGCTTCCACAGGCTCCACAGACTCTCTGAGAGCCCGAGCCAGCGCCGGATACTTAATTTTAAAACTCTCATCCTTAAGGAGGGAGGCAGCTGTTGCACTTGCCTTATCCCTGTACGTAAGGGCAACCATCACAGATGCAGCTTTCGCAATATCCTGTAAGTTGCATGATCATGAAAACCCGACTTTTACTTCAACCAACACTCCCGTTCGCTAGCCGAAGGGCAGAATGAGCGGGGGAAAGGCCAACGTTTACCGGCTTCCATTTTCCATCTTCCTCTACAGGAAGCGCCCTGAATGACGGGGCACACATCGACTCTTGTAGTTCCTTCTTGAAGCTTGCATGCAGAGTGTAGTGCCGCAGCACTACAATCTGGCGCTCCCGGCACCCCTGGAGAGCTACTAGATGATAGGATATACATAAAAGAGCACTTAGAAGGAAATTAGGTCGATCATTCAAAAAAAAAACAACGCATACTTCACAGGCATGCTCGCAAATATCCTTAGGATGGGGCTGACCAGCGTGCTGGCTCTGCTTGCAAGGCGTTGACCCCTATAGGGGCTCAGCGACCAAAAGATTTATATATGTCGCGCTTTTTGATATCTCCAAGGGACTTTATATTTGATTTGTGTTGTGTGTGTGTTGTCTTTTATGATATGTGCGCTGAGCGTAGCGTAGCAGTTCCAGGTGTGCAGCTAGTTACCGTATGCGCTTGATCGCAGTAACGGCCTAGGGTAGGAGCTGTTCACTAGACAGAGCCACTCGGCCGTGCTGAGGAGATGACACACTTCCCCCGCCAACGCCAGATTTGGCTGTAGCAACGTTCCTGAGGGGACGAGTTGCAGCTGAGGAGTCGGTGGACCACTAAGACACTCCTGGAATTTCCGCGATAAGCAGCCAAACGTAGAATGCTTCGCACCGGGGAATATCAATACGCAGTTAAACGAGTGACTGCCCCAGTAGAGGTTGATCCTGGCTCAATAAAAACTCAGGCTTGAGACATGCAAATCTGTGCCATCCGTCATCTCGCAAAATCGTCGTCCTTACCTCGCCTGCGCTGTGTACAGACTTGCTTCGAATTCGCTGTGCTTCCTCACTCCTAATATCACTTTCTCCAACAGCTTTGCATGATCGGCGCATCGGGCCATCTACTTACATGATGTTTGTGGTTGTCTTACGAGGCATGCTGAAGAGCCGTCCTCTACAACGACGGTGGAGGTTTCCTCCACTTACACGATAATGATAAAAAATATGATAAATCATTTAATTACTAGACGTTTAACATTACAATCGATAGGAATAAAGTGAGATGCGGAGAAAGGGCGTTAAAAAAATTGGGAAATGTGGGTGACCGCGGGGAAAGTTGGAGGTGGACCAGGGCCCAAAAGCAAGTTCCATCTTGTCTGGGTGTGCCCCCGGTTAGTTAGTGAACATAAATTAAATAAATATGGTGTTTAAAGATTATGGTGCCGTTCTTATTTGTCCTACACTCACCTCGGCTCTCTCATGTTGGATAGGCTAACATGCGCGAGCACCAACTCTGAGTGGGTTAGTGTGAGAAACTCCCTTTCAGAAGGGCCAATCTAAGGGGAGTTTGGGGCCTTACGGATCATGTGGCCCTCGGAACTTGATCCCACTCACGTCAGTAGATGCACCAGTCCCTCCCAGCAGCTCTGCGTGTTGTGCCCCCAACGGCAACACAAACGCAGGTGAAGAACACAATTTTGAGGCCTACTAAGGATCCAAGTTCCCTTACACGATGGAGCGATGCGAATCCATAGCACTACAGGTACTGCGGGCCCTGTAACCTGATGAGATGTAGGGAGAGACCTCAGTCCCTCACGTGCTATGCTGAGATCTGTTCAAGACAACTTAGAGTAGGAAATAAGTTCTCTCAGTTCCTTCTCCAAAATTGTTCTCGTCTGCAGCCCCACTAGAGCAGGCACTGAGGCGTTTGGGGCCGGGAGAGGAGACGGCGTAACATGTTGCAATACCTTTTGCACCAAGGCTCATGCCAGCCTCTCCTACAGTCATATCAATGCTCACTTCATGAAAGGGGGTAATGCATTCACCATTGTTATACTCAGTGTACATCAATAAGCACACACAGACATTTTCACTGTTCATAAAACCCTCACTCATTTCACAACGAGCACGGCATTGTTGCCGTGACTTTAGCGAGTATTCACTACAGTTAGCGTAATTGCCTGGTGTAGTGGGGGCGCACTACAACAGGGCAGTTCTATTATATAAGCTAGCCTTTTAGTTTCCTTAGTTAGATGATAATTCGTGCTTCTCAATCATGATCGCAATTTTGTCACATGGAAGCGTATTGTTAGAATTGTTCACTTAGCTACTATGGCACAAAGAAGCTTGGTGTTAGAATTGTTCACTTAGCTACTCACAGAGTCATGTGGGTTCTGGATGCCACCCGGGAGGTAGCCCCAGCCGACGGACTGCGGCGGCCCAAGGCAGCGTCGAGGAGCCGATCCCATATGTCGCAAGGGGCCGTCACCGGCGACGGCTCCAACCAGAACCGGAACTATATTCTCGCGAAATTTAAGAACGCACAGGTCATATCTGGCATCAGTTGTTGACACATTTAGCAAGGAAGAAGTACACACGCTATCAACATGAATGGAAGCACACTTCCAAGTAAAATCGAAAAAAAAGTGCTCTGGACAGGACTGGCTGCCTCTTTGTACACAGTAAATACGACGCAATTTTGTTAATCTTTCATTAACCCGGTAGTGTTCCTGTACGGGAGAGGCTCCATCTGTGATACCGCTTCTCAAGGGGTTGAAACCAGTGTATCGTCTCTGGCGGGACTAGCCTGACTCGCTATAATCTTCAAAGGTCTATTAAATATGACCTTTAAAGATTATTTTTCCGTTTATACTCGTCCTAAACTCGCACGTCATCTCCCTTGTGTCGGGCAGCTATGTCTGCGAACACCTATTTTGGGTGGGTTGACGCTCAGACACTGCCCCGTGCCTGGCAGGATTAGCCGGACTCATTATTGTTTTTCTTCCGCACCAATGATAAAATTTATTGAACATGACTTCTGAAGATTATGGCACCTTTCTTACGCGTCCTTTGTGTAGGTCTGCGCACTACAGTTGCAGTGATTGTAACCAGACTGCTCAATCTTACTTAAGGATAGTCTCGTGTTGCAATCGAGCCAGAATACTTGAGAGCTGCTTTTAAAAGTCAGCTGCCCTCCTCGCCAGTCACCAGCAGCTCTGGGACCGGCTCCCAGGAGTCTGGAACCGGGAGAGAGGAGGCGGCCGGACACGAGTTCCAACTCACGCCGCTGCAACTCGCGGTGCAAGGCAATCCCACATGCAAGCACAGCCAAGCCCCTTTCGCTGCATGCGGTCGCATTAAAGACAACTGTTGAACATCTACTTCGTATTGCATAGCCAGCTTTCACAGAAGTAAGAACGTGTTTACCAACTTATACGGACAATCTACTGTGGCGCCTAGCCCGTGTCTTAGGTGGAGGTGTCAGTTATTTGCATCTCTAGTAAGAAGTGACAGAAATAAATGGGGCACGCTCCACTTAGTAAAAAGTAATAATAGCCCAGTAGGATGACAAGGGGAGTACGACGGGGCCAGTCAGTTGTGTGATCGTCCCCAGTGCCGACTCCGGCGAGTTGGCTTCCTGCTGCATAGAGACTGCAAGACGCCGGACGCAAGAAGAATGAGTTCCGGCGGGGGGACTGATGTGAGCGCTTTAGCAATTAGTGGTATATTTGTACCTCCTTCCTAATTCCGTGCGTTAATGTTGTTAATGTCTTTAGCGAATGACGCCACCTTCACAAGCACGTTCCCGTAAGTGGCAAGTCTAGCCCTACTTCTGTATTTCTTGTTCTAAACTTAGAGGAACGCGGAAGGGTCCTCTAAGCCACTAGGAAATTGCTAGAATTCCCTTGATTCTTGGGCCATAATTTTTTAGAGTACCTGGAGGTCCCCTGCTGAAGCACATTTGCAGCACTGGGCTGCAGTCCGCAGGTGGCAGAAGGGGAGTTCAATATCACCGACGAAAGCCCCAAATAGGTCCAAGTGCTGACGCAAAAAAAAATCCCAGGTAGACTAATAATGCGAGATTATGTTGCTTCATCATTTCCATCGAGCATTTGCCGCGCAATATGTTGCTCAATTGCACCAGTTCTGGCCTACCCGAAGAGCACAGCACCAGTGGGTGCTCAGTGGACAGTTACCACAGCCGACACTGTGTGGGCCCCTTTACAACGTAATGCATGCGTGTGCGTGCTCTGGAAACTCCAAAGAGTAATAATCCTAGGGAATGTTTGAATTTTTAGACTATGTACACGGTGGAATCTGCTATTTATCGCTAATTGCTTTGTGCCGCCCTCCTGAAAGAACCTGCTCAGGAAGACTGTCTGTGCAAGACTGACCACGCTCACTCCAGGGAGTCCTTAGGAAAATTTTCCGGATCAAATTCCTTAACTGTGTCATTTATGTGGCTTAATATCTAGAAATGAATTTGGGGAGGCACTTTCTGCGTGCGTCCACGACAGGGTAGATAGCGCGGTGGTATCGATCAACGGCACCAACAGTCCACAGCCAGGCAAGTGCTCCGAGTTCTATACAGCCTTATCTCATGAGCGCGCCAAAATTGCTCTGCCCACCTTCTTGGACTCATTGTTAGTCGGCCGTCACAGCCTGTACAACGGAGCTCGAACTGAGGGAGCACACTCCTGGAGGCACGCCTGATCAGGAGCCCATGAGGAAGAATATCCCGAAATCAGGACAAAAAGCTCCGAAAGATCCAGATGATTTGATTCCCGGGCCGGAAGAAGCTGCACTGTGTGGTTGCCGTGTAGCCACTGGCAGAATTGTGGAGGTTGTGCCGTGATTGATGGGCCCGATTCGCCGTCTGCTCAACTCTACATAAAATGTTAACCGCTAAGCTCTGCAAAGCCTGTGAGGATGGAGACATTAAAGAGGTCGAGGAACTCTTGGCATCTGGGGCTACTCCAAACTTCGCACCAAGTGGGAGTGGGCACCGTTACCCACTGCATTACGCCGCCACTAGCGGACACGTAGAAATAGTGAAACTCCTCCTGCAAGTAAGCGCACTGTTGCCCCAAGCACTGGCCTTTACCTGATTTCCCTTGGTATCCCTTTCGGCTTGGCCAGCACGTTTATCGTCCACGTACTGCCGTTGATATTTGCTCTTGTATTTCCCCGGGTACAGCATGAAGCGACGGTGGATCCTTTAGAAGCTTCGAATGGCTGGACTCCATTAATGATAGCCACGTGAGCTACCCCACATGAGCTTCTAGCATATTAGGCATGGCGCTCTTGACCAGGTGGGTTCCCGAAACGTCCTATCTCATGCATTTGCAGAGGTGTTCACTTGATTCAGGCTGAAGTCAGCCAACTCGCAAAAGCACGTCGACGTGATGATGATATTGCTGGAGGGCGGCGCCGACGCTGAAGCGATTGATGCGGTATGCCAATTCCATCGTCTTCAACCCTTGGGGAACCACTAGGCTGCTGCACTAGGCAATGTTCTTTTTTTCCAATTCTTTGGGGGCACGCGGAACGAACTGGAAACAGAGATTCAACTATGCAGGCATTCTGCAGTGCAAACGGTTTGGAGGGAAAATTTGGCTTTTTTATGGTGGTTGCAGCGGGGAAACACAGTACTACATATCTTGGCTTCCCTTGGCCAGACAAAGCTGCTAAAGCGACTGCTCCAGAAAATCCCTTCTCTCGACGTTCTGGGCCCAGGTTTCGGCTACCTAACCCCACTGCATTATGCCGCGGAAGCTGGTCACGTGGACACTGTTGAGTTCCTCTTGCAGCTGCGGGCAGATCCTCGAGGTGTGGACGCGAGCGGGTGGACGCCCGTTCACTGGGCATGCAGAAGGGGCTACAAACCAGTCCTTGATCTTCTATTGAGCTACGGAGGCAGCATTGAAGATCGTGATTTCGTAAGTATTCGATGTTTTGTATTCATTATGTAGGAGGACTAATGCAAAGGCACTATGGGCCGTGTGTTTCAGACCGTCTGCTTCCGCTCTGCGCTTTCACAAGTTGTGAGTTGCCGTTAGATCTGATGTGTCATTTTGTGCTGCAGAGGTCTCTGACACCCCTAGATGTCGCGTGCCTCTTCAACCACACTGCCTTGGCAAAGCTGCTAGACGGTGAGACTTGCTCTGTTGTGCACGATTCGACGAAAATCCAACAAATTTTCCGCCCGTGTGTCGACTTTGTGATGCAGCGCAAATGCTCCCAGGAGGGCAAAGAGACTTCTCCATTGCAGATGCTGAGACGGCGTCAAATAAGAGCTCTGCACTCGGCGACGTGGTGCCTCAAGAGGGCTCGCACGTGCTGGTAGCGGCGCCTGTGGAACAGGGTTGTTCTGCTTCCAGTTCAACTGCAAGCTGGCGTGCTGAAAAGTATAACACTGGATGGCGTGGGCATAATTTTGGTCGATTGGTTTTGGGAGCGTTTATTCTTGTCATATCATTTTGTGACTATCTCTCAAGAGTTTCTATGGCTGCCTTCTTTGCAGCTGCGGCACGAACGCTCGAAGGTCTGGGCCCGATGATCGTTGCTGCAACTGTGCTTGCCTGCTGTTCTGTTGTCTTGCCAAGTATCGCTCTCGGAATTTGTTGTAGCTGCCACTTCAAAAGCACTGGGATTTGGGCAGCCTGGAAAGCTGCTAAGTTTATTCGTGCCGTTGTGGAGTCTGAAAGTGGGCAAGGGCAGAGAGCACAACACTCGACGTGTGTGGCACTACAAGATTTGCTTATGGCGAACTTGTTGAGACGCTTGTTCACCCGGATAGTTTATGCTAACGAACATACTGCGCTAAAATTTGTGGCTGCAGGGATCATTTTGCCACCAGCTTCAATTGTGTGTTGTTTCCTGCTCGTAGTCCAACTCGCTGTCGTGACAGCGGCAGCATTATTTGCTGTTTTAAGCTTGGGTGTATTCAGCTTTGTGTGGATTTCAGCCTTTAAAGTATTTTTCATTAGTCGTCGAGGGCTTTTGCTTTATCTCGATTGCTTGACTCACGCCTCTGCACTGTGGGTGAATTCAACAGAAGGAAGCGCTAAGACAAACAGAGACATCTGCACTCCCAGTGCACTGGAGCTTCCGATGAACAGAACTGGGCATATTAAACCTGTTTCGGAGCATAGGCTCAGGAGTTTCAGAGATAGCCCAGGCGTTGTTTATCCTTCTGATTCGCCTTCCTCCCCTACATTCGGTCAAAGCCCACGCATCGCAGGAGAAGAACGAACGGGACCGGAGGCAGTCAACATCCGTTCACCTTCCGAAGCAAAGAATAGCAACACCGGGGCTATGAAAGACGAGAGGGTTTGGACTCAATATCTAAAGGACCCGGCCGGCGGAGACAGTGCTCTCCCCTTCACGCGGTCTACATACTACACTAGTGCTACCCACCGTGGCACTGTTCCTCAAAGGCTCCATCCCTGTCCTTCTTTACAGTGTGCCATACAGCTTCATCGGCAGCACCTCGAGATATACAGAGACAGAGAGTGCCATATGACGCACAGCAGGAGTCGCATTCAACAGTGTGGAAATGTTGGGTCACCTTCCTCCGGTGCTGACGGTACTGTGTCTGCAAAAGAGCTAGAGCCAGATGAGCGAAGGCAGGTTATACCGGAAAATGTTAGCTGGAGATTCCACGGGGGCAGCGTCGGGCTGTTTGCTGACTCACTGAGAGCTCACGCTTCCGCACAAAACAGCGCAAGCGTATCAGATGTGTGTGATGAGCCAAAGGAGCAGTACTTGCCAAATGGCCCAGAGCAAGAATCAACCAAGTGTCCCCTTGCTGATGAAAATTCGCGAGTCATGTGCAAATCCCTACAAAATGACACAGAGAATCAATGGCACCATGGCATTTTGGCTTTTGCATATGGCGGCCAAGAAGCTCACGTAGGACTGCATGTTGTCGCGGAAGGCCTCTCAGTTGCCTCTAGCCCTGAACGGTTTTTCCCCAAGGAGGCGCATAATGGATGGAGCGACTCGGTTAGCCTTAAGACAGAAAGTGTTGCTTCTCTTTTGGCCGGTGTCAGTCCATACCGGTCGGTGCAGCATAAACTGAAGCAGCAGCAAGCTCCTGCTGTACGCACCTCACCGCCGACGATTCCCCTCTCCAGATCTCTCCCAGCCCCAGAATCCCCTCCAGACGTCTCCGATGACTGCATTCACGGGGCGGAAGTACTTGGCTCTCGATCCATCGCTCGCCCCACAGCGGCGCTTCCCTCTGCTGGTACCAACGCCAGAGCTGGTTGGAGGGGCTCCAAACTCCTCTTCACATGTGCTCAGCCAGCGCACTGCTTCACTTCTGCTGAGTCCGTCGAAGACCAGAACCGACACACGCAGCAAACACCTGAGCTCCGTCGTGGGTCGCGTGTTTTAAAGAAGTGCAACCAGATGCCAGTCACTTCTCATACTGATGATGCAGAATATGATACCGTGGTTATCCAAAGACAGCTGCGTATATTCAACTGGTTTGAGCAATTCGTAGCGTTTAGGCACGCAGAGATTACTGCGATGAGTAAATCAGCAGCAGCGAAAGTAAATGGGACGGCATCTGCAACTGCGTCGCGTTCCTCGTGCGGCACCCCTTGGGAAATTATACCACCCGTGTCAAGCCTTTCATCCTCTGTGGACCAGGCGGACTCCCGCATCAAGTGGGCTACCTTTGGTACGCTATTCCCGTATAATGAATCTATGGAGCAGGCGGATGGTGTAAAGCGAGAATCGGCAGCGGCGACACTGGAAGAGGAGAGGGTCCCATGTTTGTGTACTGAGGATCTATTTGACTTGCCCATCAAGGAACCAATCACGGCGCATGCTCCGCAACATCCTTGCGGCAAGGCACGCCATGAACAGAGGGATTTCGACCCCTATCGAATTAAGATGGGGAGTGTCTATCAGGATTTGCCCACATCACTTCATTGGAGCCAATTCGCTAATCCTGATACTTCTGGGGGCGATAGTAGCACGCGTGGAGATAGCGGATCGGATCAGCTTGCCACACCTATTCTTCACTACAGATTTAAAGACATGGTCGAATTGCCTCATTTACGGGAGGTAAGAAATCTCCTCAAGAAGCAGCCAAGTAGAAGCATTGAATAAGCGGTCAAGCATAGCGGTTTGCTGCCTGTGGCATTATCTGGCTGCTACCTTAGCAGGCACGTATTGCACTCAACGTGACGGTCCAAGTGTGAACCTGTACTCAGACCTTTTTCAGTCTTTGGCGCCGGGAATTCGAAACGCTACTTTTCTACCAGGAGCATTACTTTGGGTACAACCCGCTAGGGGTGACAGGCGTTCTGCAAGAAGGCGGTATTAGCGACTTTTCACAAGGGCACACTCCCCGACTGACCAGCACTGAGTTTTGCCCTTCTACCAGTCGAGTGTGCATCTGCGATGATGCAGACACAATTTTAAAGCATTCGTCGTGCGACAGGGAGGTGTTGCGGATTGTCCCTCGGCACGCTTCTGAAGCGCAGGCTCACTGCTCGTTGCAGTTTCCAGCATCAGGGGGGGCTACAGTAGCTGGAGTTCACGACGGCATGGCACGTGATCAAACACATCTCTGCACCGGGCCGCAGGGGCCCCCAACAACCTACGCCGTTGCCATAAGCCTGGGGGGAACAGGCCCATGGAGGCGCCGTCGCTTGAGCAAGAGACGATGGGTTAGCGGGAAGAATTCTCTACACGGTCTGCTGAAGCCTCGCGGCACTGCGCTCACACACAGCAACACTGTATCGGACCTTGTTTCTGCCTTTGGTGATATGGAGGAAGAAACAGGGGTGGGAGACGGCAGAGTCGCAGACAACTCAGGAGCCAAACATGTGTTGGTTGCCGAAGCTTGCCGTTTCCTGATTGCTCTCTCGTTAACACTGGATCTTGTCTTAGGTATCCTGCCTCTGCTAGGTGCAATCATTCTTTTCTACCTGCTGCCGTGTAGGGATCCCTCCTATCAAAAATCTGCGGATTCAACTGCTCTTTCCTTGCCGAGTGTTTGCACGCAGAGTGAGTCAGGTACCACTGTCTTATCCGCCGCTTTTTCTCTGTTCTCACACTCAGCTCCACTCACTTCTACATTTTGTGCACATCGGCACCTGTTTTTGTGGAGCATTTTAGTGACCTCCGCGGTGGCCTTCTTCTATGCTGCCCTTCTGTTTAGTCATGCGTCCCGTGTTTGCTTTCCACTCAAACGTAGGACACATGGCAGACAGGCTTTGGAAGGGGCATAAACAGAGCCACAGTAACAGGTAACCACACTTTTTCGGAATGTATGCACCGTATAGATTTCCAGGGCGTGTTTCTATTCTTAGCCGTGTTAAGCGTGCAGCTTTGGGGATTGGTCACAGCTTACCACGAGTTCATCCATTATTTGCACTAGTCAACCATTGAAGATGTCTAGTGCAAGCCAACCCATGTACAGTGCTGTGTCCCATAGCGATAGATTTTTCGGCAAGTTGAGACTCAGCGTCATGTTTTGTTGGCATAGCTTCTTCTAACCAGCGTTAGTGTTCGTCACAACCTCCTCGGTTCGTGCGGACGTCAGAAGATATCGGAGGTCGTAGGTGTAGTGTCACATCATAATAAACTGGTTGAAGTATGTTTTATCTGGCATGTACGAGCCTTCAAGAGCAATGAAAGATATATAGTGACATGTTCAGCCCTAGGCGGACGCGTCAAGTATGTCGCGGCTAAAGGGTGCATTGGCAAGATCCACAAATTGGGCAGCCGAAAAACGCAGACTGGCATGCCCCATTGCCAGGGAGCACCATTCATATGCTATTGTTGTCTGCTGGTTACTTAGGAACCTCACATCTCAAATAAGCCAATGGAGATCTGCCAGACACGCCGTAATGGGGAAAACGGGGAGTGAAATATAGGGCTCTGTAGTGGTGTTCAAGGGGTTGCACGGTACAGTGAGTTTCACATTTTTGCTGAAGGGAAGGCCTGGCGTCCACCTAAAGAATGTGTAGCGACCTCGATTAGCAAAAGCATGGTATGCAAGGCATACTGTAGCAGCTCCATGCATTCGGTCTTTTATTGGCAAGGCGATGTCTACAGCTAACAAGCAGTGCCTATACTACACGGAGTAGGCAGCGACGCTGGAGTTGGCGCCTGGACTAACAGATTATACTGCTTGGCAATGGCAGAAAGCGTTCGACTCCTGCAGACGAGTTACGGAACAGAAGCTGCGGGCGAGCAGACGGTCTGTGCAGACGGCAGTGGTCATCTACAATCGCAACACCGAAATGGAGGCCCCCCTTCCACCCATTTCACATGTAACATACTGTAAACATGTAAATACAACGAAATCGTTGCAATCATTGCACTTAGTGCATTGGGCTCTGGCTCGAATCCGCTCGGTACATTACGCCCGGCCATGGGACGGGGGCCCCCTTGACAAAGCAGCTACATGTTTCCGTGGATGTCCTTAGGCCTCTTGCCAAAAACATAGCCACAATACGTAGTTCCAAAAAACAGTGTAAATCTCCAAATTGGAGGAGAAAAAGAGGGCTATTTTTGCCGCAATCGGGCTTGTGGAGGGCCCGAGATGCTACAGGTCGCTACTGGGCCGCCACAGCGGAGCAGTGCAGTAACACGCCTATTGCAACGTCTGATGTGAGACACACAGCACAGGGCCTCTGTATCCAATTAATATTTCAGCTTAAGGAGTAGCAGAACGCTTCACAGCAAAAGCTGTCTTTGATCTCGTTGCTGTGTGTCTCCCCGGGTGGCAGCGGTCTCACCGCTGGGGGCCCTTGCAGTCCTCCAATGTCTCAAGCAAGTTAACTCCTTGTCACTGGCTTATAGCCTAATTGACTCACCTCATGCTGGTACTTTGGCTTGGTGTTTCTAAAACTTGAGGCCACCGCCTGCGTGCGCTTCAACCTACTCCTAGGCTCTCAACTTCCCACTGCATTCCGACGATAGCGCGCCACATGCAATGCGTCTTATAATCTGTGTACAGGAGTCTTTCCTCAGCCTTAGCTACATGCTAGCCTTAAGCTGAAGCTAAGGGCGTCGACCTGATGGGCAGCAGTTGTCAACGGTATCTGTCTGGTGGACACCTCGCCTCCCGCCCTTACACCCACCGCGATCTTGACCGTGTTACACGGGTGACTTGGGGTGGTGAGATTCTGAAGGGTGCGACAAGTTCTTGCCGCGTAGCAGAGTGGGGACCGCAGTGACTCCTCTGCTATCAATTCCCGGCGCTGCTCCTCCACTGGATGCCAGGAGACATTCCGTTCTTCTCTAGAAGCATGCTCCAGAAGGCGCAGGCTAATTAGATAAAATGGACGAAATACACGCAGTGCTGGAGCTATTTGTTAGCTGCCGCGGAAGCGGCTGGCCCCTTGTACGCTTAGAGGCGGAGCAGCAGCTGTTGACGCAGCACCTTCTGATGGTATGTTATTCCGTATTTTATTGCTTTAGCTGGGTCCACAAGGGTCGCTATCCAGTGGCGACCTGCGGGCTAACTCGGAGTGAGCAATGGTTAGGTATGTTCTTTTGTGCCTTGTGTGCAGGCAGCACCTATGGACAAGGAGGAAATTGAAGACTTAATCAAGCAGTGTTTTGAAGCAGATAACAATGGAGAAATCAATTTTCTCAGCTTTTGGTCAGGTAAGTATCTGACGTCCGTGGTTCAAGTGGCTTGCTGTTGAGTCTCTGTGTTCGTAGTGTCCACTCTGCAAAGTGTCACAGCGGCTGGGTTTTACTCTCAGGGATGGAGAATCTCCTCGAACTGCTGGGGATCCGAGAGCCCTCCGCACATGTAGATGACAAGGTATATGGGTTGCAAGTCTTCAGGTAGGAAGGTGCAGTTGAGCTCACGAGCGCACGCTCATAACATGCGTTAACAGCCACACGGATGGCAGCTGCTCAGACAGTAGTGGTATAATGTTTAATCCGTATCTGCCTGTTCACAGGGATGGCCTGTTGGCCGAGGCCATGAGCAAACACCAAGGGCCCACCAGCAGCGTGTTGCTATCCAGAGACGAGGTTCTGCGCATAATCGACCAGACAAACAAGTCAGTTGCATCGCGTCATAGCAAAGGGCGTGCAGAAAGCACACGATGCGACGGTGGATCGTACCAAGGAGGCGACGCCTCTTCTTCAAGCCTGTTTTGGGACGAAGTATACAGAGAAACAGCGCTGCTAGACTCAACATCTGTCCTTTCAGTTACGGAGCTTTCCATGATGGTTTTTGGGTTTCTGAAGAGCTATCTAAGACAGGAATCCACAGCAGTGAAAATGTCGGAAGGGGTTCCGAACGACGTTGCCCAGCAGGTACACGAACAGGCTGTGCCGTCCGATACATCTGGGGTGATAAGCGCTGTCTCTGGTACAAGCTGTGTGCCAGAGGCTGCTCCCGTGGCTGACACCGCTATCGGAGCCGCTCATCCAGTTGTGAGCACCCAGGAACTGCGCAGCCAGGTCCCTGGCTCTCCGGATGAGACAGGTGAAAATCTGGATGATATCTGCGGCTCGACAATGATGCATAAGGGATGGCAGAAGGGTTGGGAACTGGAACATCCGCGGGAGCATCGACAAGATCGTGCCGAGAGCAGAAACGACTTCCCAAGTGTAGCCAGTCCCTCTTCAGATGGACACGTACGAGGCTCAGAAAGACAGACATATCGAGAGGCTTCTGATTCGCCGGTTGCTGATGTCTCGCACATTTTAACGCGCTTAGACTCCGAAGATCCGTGTAAGCTTCATAAGGCAGTTATGCAGCCACTGCAACAGTTTTCCTAGTTTTCCTAGGCATTCCCAGTAATTCGTGAGGTCGACTTACCTAACAGATGATGGTTTGGGTTATCACATCTGCTTTTCGCAGTTTTGCAACTGCGGCATTTGCTGATATTTTCCGGGGACGTTGTTGAGCGTGGGGTCTTGTCCAAGAAGGATATGCAACAACTCCGCCATTTGAATGCAGCAGCGGTCGACTGCGTTGACCGAATGTCTGCTGAGCGCGACAAAAGGAATGAAGTAAGTCACACCTAACCGAAGGGTAATCTAGAACGAGAAACAGCATTAGTGTAGGTTTTACATACAGTTGCTGTACGTAGTCTGCAGTACGGGAGATTGCTCATCTGTGAGGCGTCACCTCGTGCTCCTTTTTTCCTCTCACCTCAGTATGGTTAGTGCTGAAAGTGGCTTCTCTAGGATGGGATTATACATTTCCGGTACATTTTTCAGGAGGCGAACGAGGCAGTTTTGTCGCTCAGAAGGATGCGGACGGAAAAGCAGCAGCTGATCGAACGCCTCGCAACAGTGGAGCACCAGCATAGTCAGCTGCAGCTGCAGCAGGAGCAGCAGCTGTGCGAACGCGACAGGGTTGATCAACTCCAGGAGAGCCTGGCTTCTGAACGGGTTGAACGCGAGCGCCTTCAGGCACTATTGCGTGGTAGGCTGTCTAGGGCCACGTCGGGCTTGAATCTGCTAGGCCAGGTGGTCGCGTAACACTGTGACAGATGTTGATTGTGAATACACATTTTGTGCTTGCCTGTGAGACAGATAAGGAGGAGGATCTGACGGGTGTGATTCGTGAGAAAGATGCACTCCTTGGAAAGATTTCATCGCAAGTAAGAACAACCTGCCCCTGTCCCCTGCCCCTCTCCACGCGGAGCTTGTCGATGGCGAATGACCAGAGTTGTCGCCAACACTACTTGTTTGCGCTGCTTTTTACTTCTGGACTTGGTGCAGAAGGATGACTTGAACCGCCTTCTGGAGGCTGTGCACAAAGAAAAAGCAGCGTTGAGCGAAGACCTTCGCAAAAGAACGGAAATCTTAATTCGTGAGCCTCTCTTCTCTTTGGTCCCAGCGGTTCTTAGACTATCCACGCTCTCGGCAGATGTATATGTTTGTGGGGAGGTCCACTGTCCTGTAAATTGACCTTCTACAGGAGAAAAGGAAGCGCTGGAGGAAAAACTTCGTTCCGCTGAAGATAAAGCCAGAGCAGCAGAGGCTGCGCGCCAACAGTTGCAAGGCGATGCACATCTCAGTACATCTACCCTCAGGCAGCGAATTTTGGAGCTGGAGGAGGATAAGCAAAGGCAGGAGACTGAGGCAGAGGAGAATGATGCCCTGATACTCCAGCTACAAGGGCGGCTAGAGGAAAAGGTTCAGCAGGTAGGCATGTTGTACGTTTTGTCTGTTCGCTACTGTCAATCCTAGAAACAGCAGGGAGGGCTCTTAAAAAGCTTTGTATTTCATGTACCGGGTATGCCATGTTGACTTAATTGTGGCAACCGTTGCGCCCTTAATCCTTTATATTTCCCAACAGGTTACAATCCTGGAGGTGAAGAACAAGCAGCAAGCTCGTTTGTTGCAGCAGGTTCGTGGCGTGCGAAACTCTTTGATGCAAGTCCTCCAAGACTCTAAGGAAAATGAGCCAGACAAGGGCGGTTCTACTGGTGTTTCAGCGGCTATAACACGAGATGCTGAGATAATGAAGCTGAAGGCAGGGATGAAGGCTGCCCTGGCGCATATTAAGGAATTAGAGACATTCATAGATGAGATGTAGGTGACTTTGCTAAGGCTTCCAGCCAGAAACTACTGTGCCTTTTCAATGCATTATGTGTGACTTTAAGGATTTATCCTGGTTGTGCGGGTTCAGGAGGAAAGAGCAACGGCGAGGGGCCCATCCACGGTATGAAATATCAGCAGCCTCAGGGGATTCATTTGCTCGTTCTCTGGAGAGACAGCAAACCAGTGATGCATGCAACAGGCCTTTGAGAGCTCTGCGAACCCTTGGAGATGAGCTGGAGATGTCAGAAGCTGCCAGTAACCAGGAGGTATCTTGCACGGGAATTGATGAGGGGAACAGCAAGGCAAGTGAAAATGCTCCATCGGAAGGACATGATGCATCTACTCATTGTGAGGAGTCCAGGATTGCATGCAAGGGCTCAGGTGGCACAACTGGGATTGCAACCAGCGAAGCCGGCTCGGGAGAACCTGTGTCTAAACAACCTAGCATCAGAGAGCAAATAGTGACCGTGGAAAAGCAAAAGCTTGCATCAAGCAAAGTTGTTGGTGCAGACGTTTGTGGCTTGAGACGTCATCGCCAAGCACACGCTGGAACTTCTGTAAGCTCACAGTAGTGCCCAAGGCTAAGCAGCAGCCCTCAGCTGTGTTGGTGTAATGGACAGCTACAAATATACATGGAAAAACACTTTCACTTGTGGTGTGGCGCAGGGGAATGTAGGGTCTTTTGCCTCCTTGCGCTCTGAGCCGTCGACGATAGATGCAGCTTCCAAAGAACCAACCTCCTCTGCAAGTCTACCAGAAGCTGAAGAGATTTTTGGTACTGCACATGGTCTCCTCTGCTTCAGAAGCGCTTGCTGTTGCAGTGCATAACGACATGTGGAGAGAGCGAACCACCCATTTTCGAACTGGTACAACTTCGTGGAGAGCCGTGCATCTCTTCAGGAATTCTCTGGTTTTGTATGCTGTCCATGCCCTCAGATCCACTCGACATGCTGAAGTCTGAGGACTCGATGGAAACAGAAGCCAAAGAAAGGTAGGTGAACATAGAGTTCCACAAATTTGAGTCGCATTGTCCCGTGATAAGCCATTTACAGAGATGGAGAGAATAATGGGAGAGCAGCGTATCGAGCTTTGAATGCTGTGTTTTCTCAGGTCTGCAGTGAAAGGCCGGCTCTCAGTCACTTCACATGCAGCACAGAGAATCCATCCTTCTGGTCGAACGAGACAGCCCAGTCCGAAGAACGGGATGCTTGCCGTCCATGCTTCGTCTGCATCAGCTGTAAGTTCAGACCCCTCTGAGCTGCCGCCAGGCGGCGGATCTCCCAAGATGTCTTGTGGGCATTCAGCAAGCTCTAGTGGATTGGAGCTGCCGCTTGAAGGAAGGCGGTGCCGATCGCGGGCAACAGATAGCAACGCTTCAAGTGATCAGCGCAACTGCACCATTGAGTCGTCCGTGGTGTTGCCATCACAAGAATTGGGGTCTGCATCTCGAGACCGTGGGAGGAGCACTTCCCGTGAAAAGAATTTTTTGAGCGACTCGTTAGCTTCCACTAGTTCGGACGGGAAGTTTCTAATGTTAACCGCCCTCGGAGAAGCGAAGAAGTCTCCCACGGCGTCGACAAGCCGAAGGGTTGACGATCGATCACCGAGTTCAAAGGTAGAGCTTGCTGCGAGAGCTCTGGACTCAAGCACCTTGAGCAGCATGTTCAGCATGCTTGGATCCTGTGCTGCACTGCCTGGGAATGCGACGCGCCGCGCAGCAGCTCCGACGGATGCTGACGACACCACCAGAAACACCCGCGGTGGAGGCGGAGAAGATAGTTCAAAAACGAAGCATAAGCAGCCCGGCAGGTTGTCTGCTGCAGCAACCGCTGCAATCTCGGCCAAGGATGCAAGCGAATTTCGGTCGCTTCGGCGTGTAAGTCAAGGAAGTGCACATCGTATTGACCCGCCTGAGGATTCACCTGGCCATATTGATACAAGGAGAATGTTGGGATCTACCCAGGTAGGAGAGCTGACCGCTCATAGGCGCGAGCCAACATCAGACGAATGCCCGTTGACAGGAAGAGACCAGTGGACATCTACACAGAGGCCAAGCCCTTCGCCAAAGGCAGGGCATGCACGAGCTCGGCGTACTGTTTCCTTGGGAAGGACGGAAACCCCAGGCGAAGTTCAAGGACGTGATGTCGTGGACCAGCAGAAGAGGCTGCCCTCACTTACAACCCCAGTCTCTAGTGAGGGCGATATCGAGCACCCTGGCGTTAAGGAGAATTACCTGCAAGATTCCGAGGCCCCACAGAAAGCGTCTATGACAGTCGGCTCAGCTTCAGAGGGACGTTCTGGTGCTGACATGGAAAAAGATCTTGCCTTGGAATCAGGGAGCCCCGCTTCATCCCTTCGAAAAACGTCTGGAGTCTTGAATAACGCTCTAGGAACTGTCGAAACTTGCAGAAGCAGAGGGAATGCAAATACCCACCGGTCACCACGCAGCCGTAGCAGCAGCTCCGAGCCACCGTCCCGCAAAGTCACGTCTGCCCACGGACCGTCCACCAGCCGGCAGACGCATGCGCCAAAATCGCCGCACGAAACTAGGCATACAGAGGCTTCGGGGGAACGGCAAGTGCCGCACGCCAGTTCGAGGGCCTACGAAGGAACTGAATGTGAAACCGAAGCTGAGACCATGAGGCGGCAAGTACCAGTTGTGGCAGATCAGACCCCTCAGCAAGACAGGTCGGGGGCGTGCAAAGTAGTGGGATTACGCACAGGTAGCACTAGCGAGGACCGAAGATCGGACGACCAGCTTCGATCTACCCAGCGCCTGCAGAACGAACTCAAGAAGGGATGCGCAAAGATACAAGATGAGCAAACTGCTTCTGCAGCAGCTCTGCTAGCTGCTGCTGCTGGGGTGGTTGACGCTTCTCTCCAGCAACAACAGCAGATGATCCAGCGTCAGCAGGAACATCATGAAGATCTGCAGAGGGCGCAACAGCGCAGAATCGACATGCTGCAGGAACAGCTTGAACATCTTCAGAAGACCAAGGAAGAGCAACGGGAATCTGGAGAGCAGGAGCAGAAAAAGTTAATTCACACACTTCAGGCAAAACTGGAGGAGCTGCAGAAACGGCAAGACCAAAGAGAGCAAGATTTTCAAGAAGCTCAGCGCAAACTACAGGAAGATCTGGAGATGCAGGTGAAGAAAAAGTTGGAAGAACTGAGGTGTTCACCCCTAAAAACAAATAACAAGGAGGCAGCCAGCTCGTGTTCTACGGGCCAGAGTAGCCTTCGTGTCTCATACTCGCACCGACAGGATACGGACATTCGAACTAGCCACACTCTGAAGACAGGTTATCAGCATGCGGCATCTGGGGAAAGCGACTCTTTTGAAAGGATTGCTGGTGAGCAGGCCCTGCACTCTCCTGCCCAATACGACAACGGCCAGAAACCCGTTTCTGATGTGCATCCGTTTACAGCCATGCCTGAAGATTTTGGCACCCTAAATACAAAACATGTTAATCAGTTGCTCTCAAGCGGGAAGACGGACAGCGATACTTTAAACTGCACCGCTTGGCACCGTGGTGGGGCAGAGCCGCAGGGATGTACTGGACGGATAGATCTCCACAATGCAGGTGCAGGGGCTCGAGGGCAACCAGCAGCAGCCGCTGCCGGAGGATATGTCGGCGGACCCCATGACCAATGCAGTGACTCTGATGCGTCCAGTTGTGCAAGCAGCAGCCTCATGGGAAGCCAGTGTGGGTTGCCGGCCCATGGTTGTTCGTTTGAGGATGTTCCCACAACAACCAGCAGCTCATTCATCAGCCAGTCTACAACTCCTGCAGTGTGTTCATCAATGCCATCTCAGCGTGGGAACTACCTCGCTGGCGAAGCACCAGTCGAACGACAAATTTACGCTTCTGGAGGCGATCGCCCGTTGGCTCAGTCTACAGATGTTCACCGTAGGGAAAGCGTCTTGCGCCGGCATAATCTACTCCGCCCCCAGGCATCAGAGTGTTCTCCCTGTGCTTCCCAGCACGTACCAGTTAACGCCTGCCAGGCGGATCCTCCTTTTACTTCGTGTGTCGTACAGCGCATAAGTAGCTCAACCGGTTCTTTGTGGAGCCCAAAAGCGTCCAGGAATCACACACCTGGCATAGGGGACCGTGCGCCTTGTTGCAGCGCTGCGAGTGCTTCACGGCCACTTTCGGATTCCTCAACGAACATCAATACGGGGGCCACTACATCGTCTGTGGGTTGTAAGGGCGGTTCTCAGGAGAAGCTACTCCGCGGAGACTTGTGCTACCGCTCTGGTAATTCTCACCAGCCATCAGGCCAGGACTCTAGACATCGGGAAAGTGGGACGGGGTTGGTTAGGCCACAGCCGTCGGTTTACCATCCTGTTTCACGAGCTGAGAGAGTTATTACAATGCAGCAGGCGCATATCGACAGCGCTCGGTTTCTAGGCAGCAGTAACATTAGTGAAAAAGTCCCCTGTCTGTCTGGTCTCCCAAGGGGTCAGCAGGGCGCATTCTCGTCCAGAGAGTCCCAGTTGCCCGCACCGCTGGCATCGGCAAGGTCAATTGCTTCCACGTCCTCCCTAGCATTTCCACTTCAAAGCCCTTCACTGGCTCATACTTCAAGACAACTGCAGCAGCCCGTAAACCCAAGCCATTGTTCATCCTCCGTGACAGATTTTTTGGGGGCAACTTCTGCACGCAGCATTGCAAGTCACAGACAAGCGGACTCGCGCAGCTCGCAAGCGGCAAGCACAAAACGCTCTAGACACAGTCGGTGCAGTGAAACTCAGGTTCCTGCTTCTGCGGGCGTCCAGCGAAACGAGTCAGGCGTTAGAAGCACCCGATCTTCAGGCGTCAGCACAAGGCGCGAATCTTTGCTCTACGGTCCGCGACGCACAGTCAACTCTTTAATGAGTAAGCAGCCGCACTCAGCTACATCTGAAGTAAATTCTGCAAGGCAGAGGGGCAAAGTGCATTCCTGCACTGTTGGGACGGACGCTGCCCGATGTGGTCCCAGGGAATCGATTTCAGCAGACCAGCTTGAAGGCAATGAGGCAACTCCTATGCTGTATCGCTGTGCGTCAACTAGCGCAGCGTTGACGGATGCGGAGTTGTCACGGTATCCTACTAACCATCGCCAAAAGACGCACCGTGGATCAAGCAGGAAAGATAAGATGGATGACAAGCGACAGCTCGACGAAAGTCGGAATGCTGAAATGTCTGCAGCAGGAGAATCAAGCAGCTCGACCGCGCCGTCGTCGGGTTGGGCGGGCTTCAACGGAGGGTTTATGAGTCAGGTTCAGAAGTGGATTGGCTAACTGACACAACTGCTGTGGCCAGTGAAACGATACTCGGTTGTGAGTTGTATCTGGCTTCGTAGTTGAGCCCGAGCACGTCGAATCCATCGGGTCCCTCTATGAAGAAGCGACTTCGACAGTGGTTCCATTTTACCATTGAACGTCTCGAATCATATCGGTTACCGTGAGACGCTGAAGCCGGTAAATGCTCCTTTCAGCTGTTGCGGCGACCATATTATATTTGGCTTTTTGTGCAAGACTTGTTTTTTTTTGAAATTTTAACTTGCTGCTTCTGCAATGAGGGCTCGTTAACCTGAGGTATGAATTGTTTCCTGTGAAGACATGTTCGCTACAGCCGTTGACAGACCCTAGAACGTTTGTTGCCCGCAGTAGTGACCAGGTCTTGAACTTAGACGAGAGGGGCATGGTAGCAAAAGGGAATTGTTTCCTACTGTAAACATTTTACAGGGCACTACTAGAATCGTAAAGAGTAAACTTAAATATTTGGACATGTTGCAGCCAACATAAGTAAACCGCTAGGCGCCACTCGGAAGTATCATCGTCTGTATTTGCCCTTATAAAAACACATAGTGCACATTTCATTGGTAAAACGGGGTAGTTTGAAAAAAGGCTGTTCCTAGTATCTGAGCTGCCTGTAGATGAGTATCCAGCCACCGTTGGTAGCCCATTACACAAGGTGTGCCAACAACTTCCTCGCCGGCCTGCAAGCTAATGGTTGGTGCAGTTGGTCACTAAGTATGAATGTCGGTGGACTCCCCGGCTGGAAGTGTACGCAGAGTTCGTGGAAGGGGTGCTAGTGGATCAAGGTGAATGCTAGCAAGCTGCTGTCTAGCACTTCTGACAATGTTGTGTTCTCGTTTGTTATGAAGCGTATTCTTAGGCAGGAAGTCGGCGAGCTCTGCGTTCTCGCGCAGTAGTCTTTCTCTCTCTTGCTGAATAATTGCTTGTTTCTCTGCTTCTAGTTCGAGCAGCTTTCGGCGTTCCTCCTTGTCTCTTTCACGTTCTTCTGACACCTGACGGCGACGTTCCTGAATAATCGCTTCTACCTAAAGAACCGCGACGAGATACAAACGAACTCCCCCAAAATTTCAGCATGCAAGCAGGCACAGCGTACTTACTACTGCAAAAGCTACTAACTACTGCTAAAGCAGTTGTATGACTACTTCGTTAAGAAACCGCAGATACCTGTCTGTTATGCTCCAAGAGAGCGAGTTTACGTCTCTGTAGAGTCATCTGTTCAAGCTTTGCTTCTCTGGCGAACTTTGCGTATAACTCTTGCCGGAACTGACCCTCTTCAGCTAGTTGCTGTTGCCGCCTCCTTTCCTTCTCTTCCATCTGCTCCTTGAATGCCGTTGCGAGGGCATCCCTTTCTTGTTGTCTGTTGCATTAGACAAAAATCAGACCCGCTCGTCTGGCGCATGCACAAGCTTCAATGGCACTTCTATCTGCTACACTATCTTTGGTCAAGTTATTGGGTCCCCATGGAGCGCCTGTACACAGATTTTGGTGGGGGTTATACTTCGCAGCAAGAATCGTTGCGGCTAACCGTTTTTTCTTTTGAGCTTCTTCCTTTAGCCGTTCCTGTTCCTCGCGCTCGAATTCGTACAAATTAGCTATCAACTGAGCATAGTCTGTTTCCTCTTGTTGTTTTCGTATTTGCTGTTGCAGGAGCTCATCTAGGATTCTCGCTTTTTCCCTACGTATTAACTCTTTCTCTCTCGCCAAGTCTTCAGCTCGCTTTCGTTGCATATCGAGGTATTCCTGGATTTTTTTGCATGCCAAACGCATCAGGGGTACCGCCGGCCTTTTAGCGTCACATGCGTTAAAAATAGCCCACAGGTTTATGAGGTTTCTGCATGAAGTGAAGAAGCGTCCTCACCCTGATTTCATTTTCCTCCTTGATCTTATTTTCAAGTAACAGCTGTTTCTGCCGTGCTCGTTCTTTGGTTGCTTCAGCGACCATTTCTGCATGGAGCCGCCGTCGTTCCATTGACTGCCTTTTTTCATTCTCCATTTCTTCAAGCAGCTGTGCGACGACTGCTCCTACCTGAAAGTCTACACTCAATCTGTAGGATTTGAAAAGGTTTAGGTTTCAATATTAAAAAGGGAAGTTCTCCACAAGTGGCTATCTAGCCTCTATTAAATGGATGCTTCGAAGGAAGAGGCTAAGGTGATAAAACGGCGAATATCAACCTCATTTACCTGTTCCTTTTCAATAGCATATTTTTCGGCTGTTTCCTCTTGTTTCGTACGCTGCCTCTCTTCTATCTGTGCTGCGAGATCCAGTCCAACTTGGCGCATTTGCACGCTGCGGTCGAGTTCCTGGCGGCGCGCATCCTCGCAAGCTGCCAGTCGTTTTTCTTCCATAGCAAGTTCCAGCCTAGCATCCTCAAAGGCGGCATCAGCCCTGCGACACAAACCTAACCGAAATGCAGGATTACTAGGAGAATACTTACTTTGGCCCAGGTAGAGCAGCAGGGTGCAAATCCGGCAGGGGGGGGACGTATGGCCTCCATCTCGACATGCTTCTGGCTTGTTCAACAATGGAGACGAGCATGTTTTTATTCGGAAGCAACTGGGTCACTTTTTCCCCATGTATGAATAATATCACCGAGGTGAAAGTAAGGAATGTAGCACACGCTATGCAGAAAGGCACATGCTCATGCGAAACGGCGATAAAGGACACGAACTGCCTAGTAGCTCATAGTTTGTGTGGATTCCCCTGGGAATCTGTGAGCTGCTGCACACTACTTGTATTCGTTGATACTTCAGCTCGTTAGTATTCCAAATCTACCTCGATAGAATGAATGCGGGTACGAACTGAAGGTAACAGAGTAAGCCCACTGGCTGGACGCAGTTCTACTCGCAGGCAGTTGAGATGGTGCGGACGAAGCGTTTGTAGAGGCTTTCTACACAAAAAAAACGGGAGTGACATTGTTTTGGGGCTTACTCTCTCAGCTGTCGCTCGAGGAGCTGAGCGGCCCTTTCGCGATTGACTCGGGCCGTTGCCAGCTGCTCCTTTAGCTTGCGGATCTCTTCGCTCTCCTGGCAGATCTTCTGTCTCTCTAGAGCAGCTGCTTCCTCTCGCAGCAGCTGGTTGTCTAGAGTATCAGTGATTCTCTGGTGAAGCTGCTTTTCCTTGATACTTTGCTGAGCTCGCTGCTCCTCAAAAGTATATTCTAAATTCCTAGAAAGCTCTCCGATGTCAGCTTTGGTCGCATTTTGGCGCCTAAGTGCCTCCACCCGTGCATCACTGCGTGCAAGGTTGACCATATGAATCCTTGCAGCTTCGATCTCGGCTAAGGCCCTGTTGTGCTGCTCTTCCGCACGCCTGCGCTCTAAACGGCGCTCGACGGCTAAGCGATTAGAGGCCTTCCCCATTGTGAACGCGAATCCTAACCAGTCCAGCGACTGAAGCTTGTTGTTTGTGAATACAAGGGAACAGTTTCGGCTGACTCCTGCTGCTCTTCGAGCTATTCATTCAATGCATGTTGATGCTCAAGCAACTCGCAACACGTGTGCGGCGAGTGGGCATGGGGCACACTGACGCTATTTTGCCGGAAACACCGGGGAACAGGAAAACATATACACTCCCCTAAGCTATAAAGGCGAAAAAAGTACAGAAGTCGCACTGTAGTATGCTTCATTCCACGGTGTCAATAACGAGAAGTAATGGATTCGTTGGGGTGCAGACATTTAGTTGGGGCACCCCGCCTCTACCAACGATTCATGGCCACTGGTATTAATAAACAGTCATTATTTATTACTGTCATGAGAAGGCAGAGCAGGCAACCTACTGGTCACACATGAGTGCTGCGCTCAGCGGTGCTCGCTGCCCTAGATGCGTAACGGTGAACCAATGCTGTTGGCGTGTTCGCGCTGTTTGGCAAAAATATGCATAACAGGCATTCTTTATAAGCTGCATTGCAGCTGTAGAACACTGGAAGAGATACTGGAGCAAATAATCATCTCAGGGCTGTTCTTCCAAGCCCCCTCCAGAGCCCCGTATAGAGGTCACCTGTTGACGTGCCTGTGGGGGCTAGCTATCCATAGAAAGTCTACACTAAATTAGAGTGCAACACGCCAAGTTCCGCTTCCTATCTGCCATATGCTACTATCCAGCTTCCTCTCAGCAGCCACTGCATTCGGGCGCTCTTCTCCAGACGCATTCAAGGTGTGTACGGGAGACCCTCTGCAGTACGACACAGTGAGTCGCCCGTGACGCCGATCCTGCTGGCAACTAAACTTTATAACTCAAATATGGTTCCCTTTCATCTCAACTTCTGCCACGAAATCTGCAATTCAATTCGTGGGCCGCTCCAGTCCATACCGCGTCCCTTGAGTCTGCAAACTAGTTTTGCATTGCTAAGGCATTACCATAGGGAAGAGGCAGTAACAGTTGTCCCTGCAAGCACCTACCTGCAGCCTTTGCTAGACGCTGCTAATAGCTGAATCGCACGTCTGCGTCTTCCTGTGCTCCGGAGTCAAGCGTATTATCCAACCAGCATATTCTACGCCGGAGAACTACCTTATCAAGCACCATTTATTAGTCTAATGAAAACGTTGGCGTATGGCTACGGACTATGTACGCCAAGCAAAGCTGAGTTCAGCGAACAAGAACTGCCAGCTAGACCTAGGCTAGCTAGGAGCAACTGCCTGTAGAACCAGCTCCCCAAATGAATGCTCCGCCGAGTGCTACAGTCTAACTCCATATACCAACTAACTGCGTGTCGTGCTTCCCACTTTCAAACTGTCACTTCCATGACGCGCTTTGAGTTGTAACATAATAACTAATCTAAAATAATCCAAGCGTAAGTCCTTGGGGGACCAAAATCCAAGAACATTCTATGGGGCTGTCGGGACAGAAGGACGAGCTGGTTCGTGTAACTGCATGATCGGCTGCGTCATACGCGAGAAGATAGACTCGAGCAGCACATGAACAGCTTTCTCTTCATGCTGCTGCACAGGTGCCTCCGCTGCTTCCCCTGTGGCTGCCATGTCGACGGGACGTACTGGAGCAGGGCACGGGGCTGACTTGTGAATTGTTGACCGAACAAAATCTACCAACTCCAGTCCTATGTCCTCTTCCCTGGCAATAGTCAGAGCGTCGTCGAAGTAAAACGACGCGGCTGCATCGGAGGTTTCGAATCCTTCAGCTTTGCCCTCGATAGAGCAGGGTGGAGGACGTCTCTGACAACAAGAATGACGAGTATGACTACTGCTCCAAGGACGACAACGTTCGCAGCAGCAGCAACACGTCAACGGTCGAGCGCGAAGCAGCAGCAACAACAACATGATCACCGCCGCGAGACAGCTACACAAAGAGCAGCGTAGGGTGGGGAGAGGCTGCAAAGCAAAGAAGCAAACGCAGACAAAAACATGTTGCCGGCAGCAATGCCCGTATTTCTGCTGTTTACAGAGCATGCGTAAAGGAATGCACCAAACAGGAGCACTTCAACTCGCCTACTCGTTAGGTTGCAGAGACAGACGCTGCAAACGGCTGCCCTAATGTGTACCTGGAGAGGCTGAAGAGTTTCGCATAGCTCGGTGATGAGTGCAATGAAATTATCTGCAGCAGGAGGAAGGCTCCTCAGTATGGCTTTAAGCAGCTGCTGTTGTCTTCTCTTCCAGAGTTCTGTTGGCTCAATATCGTCCCCTGATTCCCCATCCACGCAGGAGACATTATCTGATTCGTCCCCTTCGCTGACTTTGCGCAAGTTGAAATTCCTCGCCTCCCCCTCATCCGACGCATTCTCCAGCATGGGGGACTCTTCGCCGTCGGAATGTCGGGCATCAGCGTCTCCCGGTGCTGAAGGGGCTCCCTCACATGAGCAAGTGCAAAACCGACGGTGATAGTTCGCAAGGAATCTGGCAGACGCGTCGGTGCAGCAAGAAGACAAAAGGTCGAATGCAATTACCACGTCCGACAGCCGCATGTACCCCACCTGAGCTTCAGTACTTGAGCTAGCTGGGAGAGGTGACGGTTCCACAGGCTCAGTAGGAGTCTTGAGGATGCTCCTCAGCTCTCCAGTGCCATTTCGCGTCTGACTGCCTGCAGCATGAGAACTACCTACTGCTGCCTGCCGCTCTAGGCGAGCATAAAACCCCGGTCCATCATCTTCGTCCTGTAGGTTGAAGAAGTGTTTGAAGACAGAAGCCGCTGACTCTCCATCACCATCTCCTTCTACCCCGTCCTCGTCGTCGTCATCTGCAAATCGAACGCGCGATCCGCGAGCCTTGAACGGTGCCTCAGTATGCAAATTCTTCTCCCCAGGGGTGGCGGCACTGGGCTCCCCCCGTTGCTCCGGCTGCCGTTCAGCCGCTGCGCTCCCTTCCGTCCTACTTGGGCACACGGACGAGCGACGTGGCGAAGATGAGGTCGAAGCTCTTTCACTTTTAGGGCAAGTAGGAGACCCCCCCTTTGTTGATCCACTTGCACAGGCCCCAACAGACTGCTCGCACGCTCCTGCATGGCTGGTAGGAACGGAAGCCCTGGAGCCCTCACTACCTGTTGAAGGAGAGCCGTACTCCAACAAGAGGATGCTATTCGGCGCTGATGTCCCACCTTGCATCCCCAATGCAGAGACAGGGGCGTGGTCGGCCGAAGGGGGCCCTTCCCCAACTGTGCATGCACCAGGGGTGTCCCCATTATTACTGGCCTTCACTGGTGCCTCATCTGCACTGCTCTCGTCATCGACCGTCAGGGGGACTCTAAAACTCTCAGACTCCAGGCTTCCGTCCAGCTTAGTCAGTTCTGCGCTAGACGACTCCGTGGAAAATGAGACACAAGAGGACCGCTTTTCCAGAATCGGGTCCATCAGGCGTCCCGCGTCGCTCCCCAGCAACTCGTCCATCTCTACAGCTGGCTGCAGCCCCTTAGAGCGCCGTGGAGAAAGACCAGTTCTGGGCTCTCTTAGCTGCTGCTGCCTCTGCTGCTCCTGCAGGCTAGCTTCACCCGCCACCTTACCCCGGACTTCCTCTGGCAAGCCGTGAGGGTGAGGACGATAGGCGGCCTTCCGCTCCAGCGCGTCACTAATCCACTCCTTAATTCCCGGCCTGGTGTACATGGGCTCCTCGTCCAGAAGGCGCAGCAGCTGCTGCTGGCGGTTGCAGCAACGACTGCAGCAGAACTGCATCAGCTCATCCTCCGATATGGCCTTGCTCCCTCCAAAGTCGAGTGTCCACCGCCACAACGCTGCGCGCCGCCTGATGCATAAAGACACCAAAAGCCGCAATGGAAGCGTTGCACACATACCGGACGGCAAAAACAGAGCACATGCACCTGTGCAAACATGAAAGCAGCAATCTATTCGGCGTGTTACGATCGCCGTCGGGAACCCGTCTCACTTTTCAGGTGTTGAGATGTTCCGCCTGCCGCAGAACACAAAGCCGCAGCACTGTGACTGTTGCCTCTCGACAGCCAAATCCCGGAGTTCAGAGGGCTTGAGGAACACAAGTAAGGATGCGATAATATACGCGAAGTGCTCCATGCACTGCCCGCAAGATACCCAGGCGGTGACGGGCCGGCTTTCGTCTTCGACGGTCCTCGTTGGTCGCGCGCCTTCAGCAGATACTCCCTCCCCCCCGACAACCGATTCCATTGTGCTCGTGCGGGAAGAATCCTGGTTGTTTGCCCCTGCGGGAGTAACAGCTGTACTGAGGACATCTGCGGTCCCCTGGGGAACACCATATGAGCAACACTCGGGGCAAAGCGGCTCATGACTCATCCACCCAGGCGTCTGCGTCTCGTGCTTCGAACGACGCTGCCACAACACGCGATCAAGGGTGGCTAACTTGCCACTTAGAACGGGGTCTTGCTGCAGTAGCTTCGAAAGCAAAGGGCAAGTGAGATGTTGTTTGATTAAATGGGGAAGGTCCCCCACTATGCCCGGGTCAGAGCTCCGGCAGCCATCTGCATGAGCAACGGAGGCACCTGCTCTGGGGTTCAACGACGAAGCGTCACTCGAGGCGCAGCCGGTGCACCGCTGCCACCCGCCAACCCGCAGATCTAACAGCTCGCTTTGGACCCAAAAACGCGCCGATGTGCATCGCGCCCGATACTCCAAAAGCGCCTCTGCAAAGATATGGAAACACACGATTCAGCAGGACCCCAAATGCAAGGGCAACCCAACTGGTACCGGCCCCTCCTACAACAACTCCCCCGCATCTTCCATGAAGAGGAAAATGCGCACAGTCGTTTGCTCAGCCCTTCGTAGGCACCATAAAGTGGATTTGGGGCGACTATTCTAATGAAAAACACCTGAGCATGAGGACTGTAATGTTATCTTACTTGCGCGTTCATCCGTAAGGCTGCGGAAGTCCTTTGCACCTTCCTTTTGGGTTTGCTGCTGCTGCTGCTTCCGCACGCGGTGCCTTGCGCCTGGAGACCCACGGTCCCCTGAAGCCTCCGCAGAGGCCTCCCCGCTTTCCTCCATCCGGCAACCTACAGACGACGCGGGCTTTCAAAAAGCAGGTGTGGACCGTACGTGTCCAATCCACAGAGAAGCGACTCCTCACAAGGCTAGTCAGCGGAAGGGGGAGCAGCGACCTTTAGCGTCTGCCACCGGTAATTTGGGTGCCCAGTGACAGCTTTCTCAATGAGATAGGGTACAGCAATGCATATGTTGCGAAAAGTATTGTGATAAGCACCAAGTTTTCTGCAGAAAGGGGCAGAGGAGGCAGACTGGCAGTTCCTGGGCCCCAGCAACAGACCAGGCCCGCCACGGTGTCTATGGCAGCAGACGCTGGACGCTCAGCTTAGGCGGAGAGTCGCAGCGACCGTCTTCAGCCTTAAAAACAAGAAAAGAACAATAAAACCCAAGGGCTTGCTACTCTTGTCTCGCAGCGCAACGCAGGGCTCAACATTTACGAGCTGCGCACCTGCGGTAAGCCGCGGCGACCAGCGCGCCTGCCAGAGGCAGCCTTCTCTGCCCTGCCGTTTGGATGGAAATAGAAAACCTGTACAAATGAAGGGAAATGCGTCGGAAGTGTTGGTGAAAGATAAAACGCAGCTTTTGGTCGTCCTTTTGGGGTGACCGGAGCTGTAGCAGAGCCCATGCGCCCCACGCCGAAAAAGCGCAACTCGAGGTATCACGATGAGCCAAGGAAGCAAAAAAATGGCGAGAATCTGAACGCGTTCTTTACCGAATCTCGTGTTCCATCTTTCTTTGACTGTATGTCGCAGTATGGGGCCGGCCGTGGCTGTTCTCCCTTAGGGCTGCGCGGCAGCAGCCCCTAGACAGGCTAGGAGTTTTCGGGTCTTCCAACTATGCACCTTAAAGCATAAACGACTTCCGCCTCCTTAGTTGTAGCCATAGGCATTACTTCTGTTCTTCAGAGGCGTTATTGTGCGTGTATATACGCATCCCCACCAAAATGGTAGGCAGAGCACTCCGTTGGCCCCTCTCCTCCACCAGAAATAAGGCGCTACCCTCTGAATCCCCCCGCTTCTGACTTGAACGGAGCTAAAACCATCCTTGCCGTAGCCTCATGTGAAATTTCTGGGAGTGCTCTGCCTCCATGATCAAGCTGTCCCCCGTTGCAACTAGACAGTTTATGGGACCCGCCCCACACGATAACAACAGCGTTGCTTCTTCCTTGCTTGTCGATCACAAGGCTGTCTTCCACATGCTCCACAGAACAGAGCGGGAGTTTTTTGCCTCTAGTGAATGCCATGTCGTTGGGCAGCAGCAGCTTTACACGGCTGTTGGCTCATTGGCTTGCACAGGGGCCTCCGCCGATTCGGCGGTGGAATCCTCACGATCTTATTTGCTGACTTCTTCGTGCGAGTTGATGTCAGTCAGGAGTTGTTCCGAGTTCCATGGTCTTCTGACTTGTTGTTTATGTGCTTATCTGTGCGTGCGCGCTTGTGTGTTTGCGTATGCGGGTCGGTTTCAGTCAGGAGCAGCAGCGCGCCTCATGCCCCTCTTCGGCCGCTGTGTCGTCCAGAAGGTGCAGCCGGCGGCAGTGAGCAAAGGGGGAATATATATTCCTTCAAGCGCTTCTCAACAGACGGGCTGCCAGATGGCCAAAGTCGTAGCCGTCGCCCCGCCGAAGCCCTCGGGGAACGTTGCCGTGAGCGAGGATTGGTCCAAGCTGCAGGTGGGGCAGACGGTGATGGTGCCGGAGTTCGGCGGAATGAAGGTGCATCTGGATGACGAAGAGCTGTTCGTGTTCAGAGGAGAAGACATCCTTGCAGTCGTAAAAGAACAGTAGACGCTTCAAGGTGTTCTTACTGCTCAAAGGGTTTGCTAGTTTTTGAGTTGGCGACGATTTTGTAGTTGTACAGGCGAGCAGCCAGACCCATGGCTGCGCGTCGGAGGTGATGAGGGTGAAGATGGGAAGGAGCCGGAGATGAGCCAACTCGCCTAACGGTTCTTTGTTGGCAAACAAGTAACGTAGCGCTTCACGCACCGAGCATCATAGTATACCTCGTGTAGCGGCAAGCTTGAAGGAGAGAGCTGCCGCAGGTCTTAGTAGGGGTCAAGCCTACAGAGGCCATTTCGTGACACGCGCAGCCGTAGTGCGTTGAGCTTCCGGGTGTTAAATTTACAACGAACCAACCGTCCAGTTCCGTTTCAGTGCCAGTTTGCACTGCATCATCAATGGTGGAAAGTTGTCTTAAGTGTGCTGCTTCTAGAGCAAGGGTTTAGAATGGCACATGCACGTTGCAGTAGGTTGTCTAGACTCGGCAGTGCAAGGTCAGATTGGGGTAGATGCACGGTTCAGCTCTGTAGCGACTTCAGCTTGGCCGCCAAGTCATCTACGGATGACGCACAAGCAGGAGTTCTCGTTTCCGCACAGGCGTGACTGCCCGACTTCTCGTTTTCGTATTCTTCCCCGTCATCAACTAGACTGATGCCGAAGGGGTTTTCTTCGTGAAGTGGTCCGTCCGTAGGTTTTTCTTCCTGCACGCGAGGCAGGTAGTCTTCGAGTGTCAGCCCCTCTTCTTGGACCTCCTTCTGCGTTGCAAAAAAATGACACGCCGCAGAACGCCTACTAACCGAAAAGTGGTGGTTTAGCCCTTCGGGCTGGTCGTATGAATACTCGTATCTGAACATTGACAGCACTGCGTTAATTTGTGAAACAGGAGACATTTCCGTCCTTCCTCCACACACCTGTCTTTTGCAGCACCATGCGTCTGCGCACTGATCGTTTGGCCTCAGGCGCAGTGTGGTGAAGTAGTCCTGCAGCGACTCCCATCCCACAAACGTCGACGGCCGTCCGAAGCCCAGCAGGAACTTAAGTGCATTTTGCACCAGGAAACCTGCAGCCTCAGCAACCGCTAATATGTCACAGTGAACAACGGCTGCTGTGGAGATGGTGGTGAAACGGTTGAAACTGACACAGAAGGTAGGATCAGCAACCACAGAAGAAGGAACTAGTGCCGAGTTCGCGTTCGTTGGGAGGTTGTCGTTTACCTGCTGTGACACCCATAGTAGTAGGCAATGATGCGGCGCACACGCCTTCGCGTTTTATAGAATTCTCATCCTCCTTTGTAGCCACGACGTATGGGGGAGCGCACTGAACAGCAAACGCCTCGAATCACAGCTACTGAACCCGTCTCACCAGTTGCTCGACCTTGATATCTCCGCACAAGAGCGCCATAATACGTAGCTCTATCAGCTGTCGTCACCAGCCCGCCAGCCTACCTGGAAACAAGCTAAAACCCCAGGAATGCACAGCTGTATTTGTCCGCTGGTTGCATTCTCACTGACCCCGCTGTTGAACCACGGAATTCCTGAAAAGCGAGCGAGACACGGCATTGCGGACCCATCGGCACATGCGCACGTATACACTCACACACCCACACTCACACGTATGTGTACAGACGGGTATATATATATATATATATATATATATATATATATATATATATATATATATATA